TATTGCTACTTCTGCACATTTGTTCCCCTTGAATTTCTGTTGAACACCCACTGCACAGTAGGCATCAGGGTTACTGGCTACCAAACTAGATCAACCGGCTCTTTGCCCTTGGGGGTTACAGACTGGCAGTTCCCCTGAGCCAGTACTTAGTTTTATCCCTCCTGTCTCCTCCTCTTCTTTATTCACAGTGTAGCTCATACCTCACTCCTGTCATCAGCTCTCACGTACCTTTCCCATTTCTGCATTCTTCAGGCTCTATGGAAACTCAAGCCTGGACCACCATTTGCCTAGTTTTCATGTTGGCAGACTGCTGCTCAAGTAGTCAGCCTTATCTTTCCAACCAAGTGCTAAGCTCCTGAGTGGTTGTGATGGTAGCTTGTCACTCTTGTGTTCTCCTCAATGCCTATCATGGTGCTGAAAGCAAATTGGTGCTCAGTGGCTACTTACTAATTGAAGAATTCCTTCTTCTAGTGTTTCTTAAGCATAGGGCCTTGATCTCTCCATTTCTTGCATTCTGGCATGACCTGTCCCTTGGCTGATTCTCCATATCTTCCTGGTCCTCTGCTCACATCAACCCTTGGACAGTCTCAGTGATGCTAGCTGTTCCAATCCATGACTCCATGTGCCTCAGCAGAAGCTTTTATACTATACTAGAATCTCTGGTCATTTGTCTTTGGGAAAATTCAGGTCCAATTTTCCTCCTATACAATGTAATAGGGGCATGGAATTGAGCTATAACTTGACACTGTTGGAAGGTCTGAGATGAAGAAACAGCATATAAGGACTTTCAGATCCCTATCTCCTGAAGACCTCATTCCTACTACCTTCTACTGTCTCTTCTGTAGATGGAGAAACTATACCACAGACAAAATAATGAGCTGGACTCCTACCTTGCCAGGGCCAGAGCTGTGACAGTTTAGTGGAGCTCTGACTCCTAGGTGTCTTTTAGACTCCTGAATGCTGGAGTGTGAAAGTGAGGGCTGCTGCTACCCATGTGTCCCAGCACCTGGCTGCTGGGGCTGTTAGCCCTGGTTAGGAAAGGGCATACTCAGGTGGGCCAGAACTGCCCACGAGTCCTGCGAATCCCAGTTTCTATGATGCAGCCCTTGGCAGGGTGGGGCATCTCTAAAGACTGATTTCAGCATATTCCTGGGGTCACTTCACAAGGAGGGTTGTCATTTGGGCCCCTAATTTCTGTGGGGGCAAATTCAAGGCAAAGCAGAGAACCTCCTTTCTGCATTATTACATTAAGCCACAAAAACACACAAAGCATGCTTTCTTTGAGATTGTTCAGAGCTGGCTTAGAAAGCCAAGAAGACAGAGGAGAGAAGTTGGTATGGCTGAGAGGGCTGTCTATCTGGTTTTCATATAAACATCCTAAATTGTGGATCTACTCTCTTTCTTGGGCAAGAACTTGTTATCTTTTCAGCCAGACAAGAAATGAATATAGTTTGGCTAAAATTCCTGGAACTGGTACCTGTGTATCCATAAGTGACCAGGGCTGGTTGTAGGTGAGTATCACGTCCCACCCACTTGCTGGTGTGCTGTGTCCACCACATGCACATGGTGGTTTGTGGACAGTTAAGCAATGTCATGCTGCCCATCTGTAAGAGTGTGGTTCCTATAGCCCCTATTCCTGTGTTTGGGGACTCATCTTGGTCAGATATCATACAGTGATCCTTTGTGGTTGGGAGAGGTATCTTAAGCCAAAGAGGACTGGATCTATCCCTGAGCCAGTCACCACCAGCTAACCAAGATGTCCTCCGAGGGAAATTGCAGTAGAGTAGGGGACACTGGATATTCTGGGAAATGTGAATTATAATGAAGTTTGAGTTTCAATAAGAAAAAGTCAGCAAGAATTTATTTTTGGAGAGGGCAAAGTGGACTCTTAGAATAGCTAGTTGGGTTCAGACAAACAATTTATACCCAGAGACCACCTCCCAAGAGACAGCAGGGATCTGGGAGAGAAGGAAGACAAGCAAGGTGCCTCCAGAGTTCTGTGAGCATTTTGAGTCTAGATGGAAAAGCCACCTTGAAAGCATGACTTCCATTCCCCAGCTGGTAAGTTACCCTATGAAGCAGAGAAGAGCTATACCCACCAAACCCTGTCCAAATTGCAGATATATTAGCAAATAAATGACTCTTGTTTTAAATCTCTTCATTTTGGGGTGGTGTCTTAATATGGCCAGATAATTGATACAGTTCCTTAATTATACAAACATATAACATACTCTTTGGTGCTCATTTTGGGTAAATTGCTTTTATTTAGAGCTGCCACTCTTCCTTATAAGCAGCTGTCCCAACAACTGTCCTCACCTAGGACCTTCTATGAAGAGGTCTGGAACCCCTGAGGAAGGTAAGAAGTGACAGGTGAGTGAACTACTGTCTTTGAGTCCTACTTGCTCAGAGGATATGAGGAGGGAGTCAAGATGTAGACTTGTAGACTTGGAGCTTCTGTCAGCTACCTTTCTTACTTGTCTTCCCAGGGCTGATTAGGATGTGTGGGTAGGTGGCTAGGTGTGGTTTTATCATGGAGTAACTGATAAGACTAGCACTTTGTATTTCCACAAGGTAGAAGGAATGACATATTCTCCCCCATACCTGATCCATTTAGTAGTGGTATTGATGATTAATCAGTACACCTAGGATTTATAGGTATACCTGCCCGTGAGAGTGACTCACATTTTCCCCTCATGTCCTTCCTGATGTCGGGGCCCATGCTCACCTTGAATACAGATGTGTCCACAACAGAGAGGGGCTGCCATCCTCTGCTAATCCAGAGATCAGCCATATGCCAAGAGGGAAAGACTTAACTGGTCTCTTTCTTCACTGTGACCTGATACAGTGTATCTCTCTTGATCTGATGTGAAACCAAACTGAGATGTATCTGCTGCTGCTGCTGCTTTTTCCTTTGTATCTCAAGTTCTTCCCTTTCCTTTCTGCCTTCACTCCCTTGTTCCACTCCATTTCCAATAGACATATCCGGAAGGAATTCAGTTTCCTTTTTAGATAGTTGGCTTTGAACCCCTTCCCAACCCAACTCATGCTCTTATGCTCTGTATGTCTTTTTTACCCCTTCCAATCTGAGTTTTAATTCCTTAGCAGAAACGAAACCACCACACCGAGAGGACAAACTAGATGGCCAAATACAGCCAAGATGGATGGTGAGAGCAGCTCCATCTTTTTCCTTACCCTGCAGGCCACTAGAAGAACGCTTTCCTAAGCACAGATGCTTCCCACTCCTCTGCCTTGTTTATGGAGCTAGGTTAGCCCTTGGGAATCTAGCATTTCTCTCTGGACCAGTTATATGCTTATAGGTTTTGGAAGGAGAAGAACCCTGGTATCAGCAGTTCTGCAAGAGGATCCCAGCAAGGCTTTACAGCCATTGGACCCTGGGACAGTATGTGTACATGTGTAAGTATATGTTGAGGGTGGTATGCTAGCTGAGAACTAGTCCGTCATTGGGAGCCTAGAGCTTCCAACTAGTTCATTTCCCTGAGAAAGACATCTTGGCAGAGAAAGAATCTAAAGCAATGCTTAGGGAAAGATTTCCCCAGACTTGTGTATCTTGATTGTGTTTGCTTGACTGGAGTGGCTGGGTCATTACCAGTGTGTTTGCTTTGCTGGGGTCCTCCCTCTCCATCTCCGGGCTGGCACTGAGCTAAGAGGGCTCAGGTTTCAGGGAAGGCCATTCCTCCAGTGCTCAAGGCCACTTCCCATGTGCACTGTGTGTGTGTGTGTTTTCCCAGAAGTAAGACTCCTTGTTCTTTTAGGAGCTTCATGTCCTAAAGTCAGTACTTTGTGGCCAATGAGTGCTTTGAGAGGGTGACATTTCTGAACTCTCCTTCCTTGCCCCTCTTTCTTCCTTCTTTGACAAACCCATCCTAGGGAACAGTGCCATGCTCACCACTGCTCTCAGTACTTGAGAGAACAAACATCTTCACTGCAGCTTCAGAACGCTGGTGTGAGGTGATTGTTTATAGTGGATGTTTCCATGACACTCATTTATTTCTTCTGCAACTACAACTGTATTGGGGGAGGGGATGAAGGGAAGGTTAGAGTACAGAGATTGGGAAATATGCAAACATGCCATTGCTCATCTATCTTCCGCTATAGGAAGAAGCAGCCCACCTTTCTCTTTTCCTGGCTCCGTCCATCCCAAACCCCTAACCTGCTCTCCAAATTTATCTTGACTTCCTGCAGCTGAGAAGGGGCTAGGTTTAGTTAGGTGGGGAGGAATGTTGGGCATGAGGAAGCAGCCTCTTTTAGGAGTAGGTAAGAAAAAACTTTTATTGCTCAAAGCTGAGATTTAGTAATAATGAACAACGGCGACCGGCACTGGGGGAGGCAGTGTGCGCGTGCGTGTGTTCCAGAGGGGGCCTGACGCTCCCGCAGCTGAGTCAGTGACTCATTTTAAGTCTTAACGACTTTGAGAGGTCATTGTAGTCATCCCCCTGCCTTCAGGCTGGATGGTGCTTAACATCACGTTCGGGTAGGAGGGGCGTGTTGCTGAGGGAAGAGCTACAGTATGCGGACAGCAGTGGGGGTGGGGGAGGTAGCTTGTGACCTCTCTGAAAAGCTCTTCAGCGGAGGACGTCCCCTAGTTTTCCCAGGCCGCACATCCCTGGGTTTTCCCATCACTGAATCAGCACCGTCCTCCCGGGAACTGCTTCTTGCTGGATGGGAACCGGATGTTGGGTTCCCTGTGTGGGCGGGGGCGACATCCCTCAGACCTGTCAGGGATAATTGAGACTCCGCGGGTCCAGTTAGCAAGCCCGAGAAGCTACCATTGCCTTTGCCAGAAACTTGCCATGCAGTGTAAGCAGAGAACAGAACAGAGCGAAGACGCTACACCTCCTTTTCTCTGGCAATGCGCATGATTCTGCGGCTCTGTGCTCGCCACACTTCAACGCACCTTGAAATGGGCTCGCCTCCTTCGCGCCGCGACGGACATATAGCCGAGCCAATCATCCCCCAGGATGGTGCGCAGTGTCCAATGAGCGGGCGGAGGGGGCGGTGCCGGAGGCCCGGCCCAGCTAGGTTTCACCGTGGCTCTCGCTGCGCTCTGCCTGGGCTAGTAGTGCAGGTGCCGCTGCGCCGGGGCTGAGGAGGCTGCGCGCCCAGTCCAGCAGAGCCGGGGAGGGATGGAGAGCCGGCAGCACGGGCTGCAGGAGCACCGGCGCGGGGCGTAGGCGGGCGCGAGCCGGCGCTCGGGCGCTAGAAGTGTGCGGGCGCAGAGCACTTTGCGATAGGATGAGGCTCCTGGCTGGCGCGCGGTAGTACTATGATTTGGTATGTGGCCACTTTGATAGCAAGTGTGATCAGCACCCGCGGTCTTGCGGCTCAAGGTGAGTTGAAGTGCAGCGTCCCTCTTGTCCCTTCCCGGCGCTCTCAGCCCCTGCCTCCCGGCTGCGGGTTCCCCGCCCCGCCGAGCGCCGCGCCTATTCTCGGGCGAGCTCGGGCTCAGGCCAGGCGCGCTCTGGGGCACTGCCGCCGCGGCTGGGGTCGCCGTCGAGGGGGCCGTAGCTCATGGGCGGCCGGGCACTCGTGAAAGGAAGCCTGGGGTCGGCTTCGCCCTCCTTGGACCTCAGGGTTTCACACCTGCGTGCGGAGCCTGGTGCCCTTTGCCGGAACAGCCGCCTTCTCAAACGGTGGAGAGTCGGCGGCTTTCCTGACTTGGCTGCCAGGGAGTTTGCGGGTCTCCCGGCAGGCTGCAGCACGGTGGGGCCCCGCGCAGCGCCTCCGCTCCCAAGACCGGCCCTTGCGGAGAGGCGCGACCCCGAGCCTTGGGGCGCTCGGCACCCACAGCTAGGGGACAGGTTGTCTGTCCTGCGGGCGCCCAGCGCTCCAGCTTATGCCCCTCCTGACCACTCATTTAGGAAGCTGGAGGTCAGATCGCACTCGAAGGGCAGAGCGTGCACGGAGCCCCGAGAGACAAGAAGAGCTGGCTAAGCGCGGGGTCCCCCGGCGGGCTCCGAGGAGTGCCCGCTTTTGGCTAGCCCTGCAAGACGCTCGCTCCCGTCTTAGCCGCACCTGGGCCTGGGCCATGAAAAAGTTCCCTAGGAGCGCACGGCAGCCGGCCCGACCCTACGCCGCCCTTCCGGGCGGTGAGGCACAACTGGCGGGGGACGAGGGCGGCGGGGGAGGGGGTTTCCACTACTGCGTCTGGTAGCGTAGCGAGGTTTTCTTCTTTCGTTTTTCCCCTCTTGAGCTGGGAAGAGGCTAGAGGAAGCCAGTGAGTTGGGTGATGCGTGCGTGAGCGCGCGGGCTTTTGCTCAGGAGACGGGCAAAGCGACCTGTAAGCCTCTGGGTGGCACCCCAGGCTCTTGGCCCTTGTATGGAAGTAGGAGCCGAGCCTTGCGGGGTGCAGGACTCTGAGCTCAGCGTTGTGAACGCGAAGACACGGCCCAGCTGTGGGCAAGTTCACAAAGCCGGGAGAGATGGCTGCGGGAGAGAACCAGTCGGTGGTGGGAGGCAGCAGGGGGACCCGGCAAAAAGAGAGCCCACTCCTCGCGGCGCTGAGGCGGAAGGGGTCGGCAGGAGGCGCCATTTACAGATTTAACCCCCTTCCCAGCGCCATCACCTTGTCTGGGGGTGTGTGGTGGGGAGGGAGAAGTGATCTGAGAAAGTTTCTGGAATGTAACGTCTCCCATGCCGTTCGGGGAGGCAGTCTGAACAGAACCAGAGGAGGGCGAAGGGAAGGGCGATTTTATTAAATGGTATGTGGACTTAGGTGGTTTTAAAACTCACCACTTGTCAGGTGGAAATACTGAGTCCGGGAACTGCAGATGCTGATGGAGCTGGGTGGACGTGAGGTGGGTCGAGTTGTGCTGGAGAGCCTTCTCAAGCCCCAGCCGCCTGCTCTCCCCCATTTTCTTGTCGTCTTCCAATGCCCTCCTCTGCCTCCCCTCCAGTTTTTGGTATGTTCCTGCTATGGGACTGTTGCTGTAAGCAGAAAAGGATGTGCTGGGTTCTTTGAATAAAAAAGAGTCACTGAAGGGAGGCTCTGAAATAGCCTCCAAACTCAGGAAGTCAGGTGAAGCCGTTGAAGTTTTTGCCGATTTAAGCAAAAAATACAGTAAAATGGGATTGTATTGCAGCAACACCAGAATAGCCAGACAGAAGGAAGGACTTCCTAACATTGAAGGTTGTTGGGCATGAAGGTTATGCCTTCTTTCTGGATGTCCAAAGGTCCTTCTGTCTGGGATGGTTTGACAAACACCCCTGCCTGTCACCCCTTATTGGCCTTGGAATCTTTTTAGTCTAAAGCAGCTCTGAGGACCTAGGTCCCGAGTCGAATGACTTGGGTTTAAATCCTGGCTCTGCTGCTTGCTGGCCCTGTGACCTTGGATGATTTGCTCAACCTTTCTGAATGTCACTTGCTTCAATGGAAAATGGGGTTAACAGTGTGAGCTTGAATGTCTTTTGTAGACATTAGTGCTATAAAGATATGAGAGATTTACTATGTGGTAAGTGCTCAGTAAATGTTGACATTATTATTGTAATTTCAGGGTCTGTGGGGTTCCATGCCCCTTCTCAGCTTCTTTCCCTTGGGCCATTCAGGGCCCCGGGAGCTGGGAGTGTCCTGGGGGGAAGTTCTGAAGGCTGCCTCTGTCAGGACGAAGTGTTCTTTCAGGGGCGGACCTGGTTTGGGAGAGCCTCCTCTCCCTCTGCATCCCCGGGAGGGTGGGGAGGGCGTGCAGATCTCAGTGCTGCTGGGAACTCCTTTGAAAGATTTGCAAAACTGGGGTTTTGTCCGTGGCCTAAGGCTTGTTGGAAGGACACAGGATGCCAGGAGGCAAGCAGGTGAGGGCATCACAGCCTCTGGAGGAGGGGGGAGGGGTACCTGTGTGGCAGGCTCCCGCTGTCAGGAGAAGCAGTGGCCAGTGTTCCAGGGCCGGCTCTGTGTGACAGCTTGCTGTTCTCTGACTGGCAGAGGCGACTTCTGGGGAGATCCCTGAGGGGGAGGGACTTTGAGATGCCACTGTAGGGTTTGAATGAAGTAGGGGCTGCTCTATCAGAGGGGTGAAAAGGAAGGACTGTTGGTTTGGGACAGAGATAGGGAGGACCTCCCCCTTTTGACTTGAATCCTGTGTGTCTGGTGGTGGTCCGTGGAGAGGTTGGTGAGGACATGGAGAAGAGAAGCATCCGGAGCTGGGAAAATGGTGAGTGGGGTCTCCGTATCCCAGGTGTTTGCTGAGCAAGCCATGGGGATGACCCTGGGCCATGCTTGGCTGACTCTGGGCCTTGATTGCCAAGGCTGCCTCCTCCTGTCTACCACAGTCTGTGGGTGGACTATCCATGACTATAGTGTCCCCTAATAAAGTGGGGTTCTGACTGAGGTCCTGCTGGTAGCTGGACCAGTGCACTGTACCTTCTGTCTGGCCTTGACCTTCCCTTCCTCCCTGTGCCAATGAAGTGGGGAGGGTGGAGGTGTGGACCTGGAGGTTACTAGCAAAACCCCACGGGTAGCCTATTACCTGAGAGGGACTCAGGTTAGGAAGTGGCCAAATGAGGTGTGCGTGCACGCTAGAGGCAGGGCTGTGTCTGGCAGCATGTCCCCTGGGAGAAGCTGAGGAGGGGAAGTGTCAGAAAGGGTACGGCAGAGGGGCAGTGAGAAGAATCAGTTTTTAGCTGCTGGCCTGAGGCCCAATGTGTGCTAGACTTGGAGTTGTCAGGTTTTAGAGCTTGGTGGTTTCATGTTTATGAGACAGAAGGCTGGGATCTGGTTGCCTAAGGAGCAGAGGCTGCCTGAAACCCAGCATCTCTGTTTCTCCCTCTTTCCTGGCTCCTGCCACTGCTGTCTCCTGGGGCCTGTATTTTCTCTCTCCCCTCTGCTCCTCACCCCCAGCCAGGGCACGGCTCTCTGAGCCTGGCCTGCTCTCTTCTGCCTTTCTCAGGCCTGCTGGGTCCTTGCTCATCTCTCACAGCCTTCCTGTGTGCTGTGCCGAGGGAGATACTCCCCAGAGGGCCTAGGGCTCGGTATAACAGCACTCTGCTCTGCATGACAACCCATTCCATCTGATAGGCCGACTTGGGTGGGTCCCAGGGTCAGGGGAGCAGATCTCTGCTCTCTGGGGTGGGTTAAACAGCTGGTGTGCACCGTGGACTCGAACTGTAGCAAGAGCTGTCTGGAAGTGCATGCACACGTCTGTATATAGGTGCACATGTGTGTATACATCCTGGGCCTGTGTGTATGTGCACATATGTGCACATACCTGTGTGTGTGGCCATCTGTATTTGCATGTGCATGTGTGGATGGGGACAGTTAGTGTCCAGGCTTGAGGTGGTTAGTGTTCAACCACTGCCTCCAAGTGGGAGGTGGCAGTGAGACAGCAATCAGAGCAGATGCCTCCCTTTCCTCATCTTCCTGCTCTGCACCTGTGCCCAGGCAGCCCAGAAGTTCCCAAAGTTGGAAGCTCAGCCCAGGGACTGGGTTGAAGTTTGCCTGAGGTCCCTCAAAGAAAGCTTAAGTGGGGGGACACACCAGAAAGAGATCCCAGGGACTCAGAAGATGGGTGTGTCTCGTTGTGGTGGGCGCCAGCCTCCACTGCTCATGGGCTCAGTGCACTGCAGGGTAGAGAAGGGGCTGGTGGTTGGGGAGAGGAGAAAGGGTGCTGGGGCCGTCAGAGCAGCTTGTAGCCTGGCCTCTCAGGGGCACTGCCCACGGGTGAAAGCCCAGTCTGCCTGAGGCAGTTGACCTATTTTTCTTAGGAATCTTTCTGCTTTTCTGTTCTCTGTTGCGTGGATAAGCAGGAGCCTGGTGAGCGAAGAAGCCCTTTCGTAAGGGTTTTGGAGAACAATCCCAGGTGGGCGGGGCTTTGAGGGCGGTCCCAGCCAACCCAACTGTACTGAGAAGACAGGGTCTGGGATCTTCCCCCCAGCCTGCTCTTCTGTCCCCGCTGCCCCCCACCCCCACCTCTCACACCCCTCCTGGTCACAGGCACTCACCCACACGGTCTGTGGTGTGCAGCCAGCTCACAGGCTCATCTTCACAAATAGTATGAGGTGAGCCATTGGCCTCATTTCCTGGCTTCAGAGTAGGGAATGCTCACACTCCACTGCGAGTAAATGAGGGGATCCGATTTCCCACTTAGTTATCTTGTCTACCTGGCACCTTACCCGCGGAGCGTGGCCTGGCAGCAGGGCCAGCCCCCACCTACCTGCTGGGCCTGCTGCCTGCCTGCACTGTGGCCCCCTGTGCCCTGGGCCAGTGGGGGTGTGCAGGGTGCAGGCCCCGCCCAGGCGGTGGGCTGGGTTGGGCTGGGGCTTTGCTTGTTGCCGAGGACCCACTGCTGGAGCAGAGCAGAGGCTGGATTACTGACTGCTTCCTGTCAGTGACTCAAGGGGAAAGGGCTCTTGGAAATACAATCTAGCTGAGAGCAAATTAAGGTTGCTAATAGCATCCCTTCCTTGTGGGCTGCTGGAGGCAGCCCAGCAGAGAGGGCTAGAGGGGAGAGACGTCCACAGGAGGAGGGAGGCCTGCCATGCCTGCCCTTCCCTTCCCCATGCCATGCTGTCAGGGATGGCAGAAATCCTGGAGAGGACAGGCTGGACTCGCCTGACCTCTAACCTCCGACCTCTCAGGTTTGCTAGGGAGCGGGGGCTGGAAGGGCTGTGGACAGCAATAGGGAGACCATAGAAGGTGGAGACCTCTCAGCTGGGGATGGAGATCCTTGCTGGAGGCAGAAGGGTGTCCAGGTGACCTCTAGCTCACCTACCTTCTGGAAAGGAGGGCCAGGACATGGTCTGAAGTTTTGGACACAGGCCTCTTCTCCATCACACACTTTGAGAAGGCGGGATATGGAGCCTGTCCTCTGCCTTCCTCATGCCATCCCTCTGCGTGTGCACCTTCGTGGGAGGCTCTGTGCGAGCCTGAGCTGCCGGCTTCCTGGAATCTCCTGGAGCCTCCTGGCTTGTCAGGGAGGAGTGACTGGGGGACTATCGGGGGCTGTGCCTTTTTTGGACTCAGTAGGGATTATTTTTAGGCTGGCAGATGGAGGTGGCGGTGGCTGTTGCTGGTATTATTAGACAACAAGCCTGTGGTTTGGGAGTCTGGTGCCCAGAGGAGGAGGGGGAGGGGCAGGGAAGGAGGAGGAAGAGGAGGAGGAGGAGGACTGGGTGGGGTTTCCAGTAAGTACTTGTTCCTGAGCAGTGCAGGCTGGTGCTCACCCCTCCGGTCCTGCCCTACCGCAGCTGCTGCCAGACCCAGCCAGGGTGCATGGGCCTCAGGCAGAGTGACGCTCAGCCCAGAGCCCGCCAGAGCTGGCTGGGTGCCTTCTGAAGTGGGCCCTTCCTGTCGTTGTTCTCTGGCCCTGGGCTGCAGGGGTCTGGCTGTCAGAGCCTCTCCCGAGGGTCCAGCGGGGAGGGGCTAACCTCTGGCTCAGGGAAGAAGAGGGGCTGCTCCTGGGCACAGGCCTCCCTGTGGCTGTGGCCAGGCAGGACCTGAAGGAGGGCCGACCAAGCAGAGACCCCGCAGCCGGAGCCTGACTCCCTGCTACCTACCTCAGTGACAGCTGAACCAGGTAGCCTCTCAATTTGCTCATTTGTGAAATGGTGATGGTAGGACTTCTGTCAGGTGGGCATTAAAAGAAATTTGTGTCACACTCCCAGCACAGAGCCGAGGATGTAGTAAATATTTAGAGGGAGTGAGGCTGGCCTGGCAGCTGAAGCGCTGCCCACCCTGGCTTCTAGACCTCTGGTTCTCGGGGGCCCTTCCTCCCCCAGCCCTTCCCTGGTAGAGGAGCCCCAGCCTGTGAGTGTTGGGCATGGTGCTGCGCCGTGGATGCCTTACGGTTTTACACCCACAGGAGATCCAATGGCAGTTCCTTGGCTGCCCACTGGGTGCCACCTGGCCTAGAGAGCAGGTGATTGTACCCCATGGTCTTCCCAAAAGGTCAGCCAGACTGCAGGGCCACCTCAGCCTCCTCTGCCCTCCTGCTTTCTCCTCCCTACTTGGCAGAACAGCTCTGAGGCGGGCTGGGCAGAGCCCCAAGTGCAGATTCGCTCAGCTCAGGTACTGCTGCTTCCTGCCTCCTCTGAACGGGGTGTGTGAAATCCCGGCCCGCACGGCCTTCTGCTGCCCTCACCCTTGAAGACACCAGTTTCCTCTTGGGTCTGCTTTGGACTCTGTGATGGGGAAGGGCTCGGGGGACCTCCCTGCTTTTGTAGCCCCTCCTCACCTTAGGTCCCTGGCCAGCCTTCCCCTCCCATCACCCCTGCTCCCATCCTCCCCGCTCCCTTCAGAGCCAGTAGTCAGCTGCTCCAGCTCTGTCCCCCTGCAGGCTCTGGGTCTGTGGAAGGCCCGGGTCCATTCGCAGTGGCGGAGCCCTCTGTGCCCCAGAGGCCCTCTCTCTCTCTCTCTCTCTCTCTCTCTCTCTCTCTCTCTCTGGGCTGGGTTCTGCCCGTGTCTGCTTTGTACTGCGCCCATCTCTGTGTCTGTCTTTTCTTGCTTCTTGAATCTTTTGTTCTTCAGTTCGGGTTAGTGTCCTCCTTGGTTGGAGTTTATCTCTCTCTCCTCCCTCAAGCCCCTCTTCCCTCTCTACTGCCAGCCTGCTTTGCTTTTTTTTTTTCGCTTTGAGCTTTTCTGGAGAAAGTGTTTTATTAGACATGCTTTGGCTCAGAAAGGATCAGGCTTAGAAAGAAGTGCATGTGGGTGACGGAGTGAGAGAACACGCTATGTGTGAGTGAGTGTGTGGTGAGGAGATGAGGGAAGCTGATAAATATTTTAGGATTCAGAAAATCAGTTGGGTTGGACTGAATGCGGAGGCTGGGGCTCCCACCCCTCTCCTTGGGAAACACCGTCTCTTTTTTGCCTTGCTTATAATACTTGGGATGCTCATCTTCCTGTGTCCTTTTTCATCTCTGGCCCCTGGTTGAAAGGGCCCCTGCCAGGAGACGAGGGTGGGGTTGCCTGGTTCGGGGGCAGGCTGTGGGTTGGGTGCTCTGCCCCAGGCCCAGGGCTGGCTGGAGGGGAGGGTGGAGACCTAGTGCCAGCACCAGCATTGGGGGTGTGTGAAAGAGGCTGCCTCATTCCTATGCAGTGAGAATGAGGCTGTGCTAGGTGCAAATGAGCAGTAGGCACTGTGGGAACCATGGCAGAGGTGCCCCACCTCCTGGCATGGACCCCCAGAGCCCTCAACCCTGGCAGCCCAAGCCGCCAGAGCCAGTATCACTGTTGAAGGTGGACAGTTACTCGCCCACAATGCTGGCCTTTTTCCAGCACCTCTTCCTCCTGCCTTAAGGCTCTAGGGCCAGATGCATGGGAGGGAGCCCCTTCTATGGACAGCCTCTACCCCCCCACACCAGGTAACCTGGCCTCTGAGAACAGTTCCCTCCTCTTCTCCCAGGAAATCCCTTTTCATCTCCTTCAAGGTTAGTGCTGCACGCACTCACATGTGCATGCACACATTCACACTCACCCCCCCCCATGTCCTTTTGTTAAGAGGTACACACGTTCATATATGCACACACATCTTTTTGTCAAGAGCTCCCCTTGTGCACACATACGTATACACACAGTCATGCACTCACAAGCTGCTTCCCCTGTTCACTCATGGTGGCCACTGTTTGCCATTCCTTCTGGGTCCAGAAGTAGCCTTTGTGCTCCTGGGTGCTGGGAGGCAGGCTTGTCCCTCTCTGGGTGCCTCTGGGGTTGTGGGGGAGGTGCCTGCTGCAGCTGGGCCCTCTCTGTGCTTTCCCTGAGGGGCTTGAATTCAAACTTAGCCTGAAGCAAGGCTGGGGGTGGGGGGAAATGAGGAAACCTGCTGGGGCCTCAGGCAGGTGAGTGCAGCACTGTTCTGCTCCAAAAATACTCTGTGATCTTAGCTCTTTCCTCTAGAAAACAGTGATGTCACCAGTAGCCAATCAGCTTCTGGAAGGGTTTGCTGCCTCCTCCTTCTGCAACTTGGGGAGGAGAGAGAGGGGAAGGGGGAGGAAGAGAAGGAGAGACACAGAGACAGACAGACAACAGATAGACTGACGTTGAGATACACACACCCAAACACAGAAGCACACAGGGGTCTCTCTACCCAGAATAGCAGGCAAAAGCCCTTCCCCTTGCACAGAGGAATCCAAGCCCATGTGTTCCTCCCCATCCAACACACACAGACACACACACACAGATACACACACACACACACACACACACACACACACACACACACACACACGCTGATGGAGGCATAGAAGAGGGGGAAGACAGGCAAGCAGACAGAATCATCCACATAAAGTGGGAGCTAGAGAGAAAGAGACAGAGACACAGACATGGAGAAGGAGCAGGAGAGAGCGAGCCAGAGACATCCAGAAAGACAGAAAAACACATAGAAGGAGCCAGAGAGCCAGAGACAAGGGAGGGGGCCACAGAGCCCAGAGGGTCAGGAATGCAGTAAGAGTCAGGCCCAGAGGTATCAGCCAGGCAGACACTGTTCCCTGGGCATCCTGTCCCTGGTGCTGCCTGCAGGGCCCCAGCAGCCCAGCAGGGGAGGCGGTGCAGGTGGGGAAAGCTGTGGTCTGGTCACGGGTATGCTGTGGGGGACAGCAGGGGGGAGGCTTCTCCAGGCTGTCCCCTTCACTGGGAAGTAAGCTAGACAAGGTGACTTTGTGGGCACAGAGGCCCGGTGTGGGAGGGAGGAGTGTCAGGCTGGAGGTGGGGGCTACATGCCTAGTTCAGGGGCTCAGGAGGGGGCTGCCAGGCCTGCGAAGCAGTGCCTGGGTGAATGAATCTTTCCTCTGGTCCTGCAGCTTGGGGATGGAGTGGGTGTCTCCCGCTTTGGTCCCCCACCCCCAACCCCCAGCCTGGAGGATGGTTGCACCCTGTCCGGCTGTGTGTTTTGCTCTTTTCCAAAGGTGGGGGTGGTTTCCTCCTAGTTGGCTGAGGTCAGCAGCCCCAGACCCCCTCCTTCCCCAGCGCGCTGTTTTCCTAATGGCCATATCTGGGCTGCTCGGGAGGATAGGTTGGGGGCGTGGAATCAGAGGGCTGGAGGCCACTCCCGCTCCCCTCTCGGAGGCAGGTGCCGCAAGCTGGAGGAGGGGCCTGGGGAGCCAGTGCAGGCCTGGGGGCTTTCCTTCTGGCGTTGCCAGGAGCAGCCTCTGCTCAGCTGGTTAGGGATTCCCCGCTCCTGTACGGAGTACTCTGTTTCTGTGCTGTGAGTACCCGGCTGAGCTGGGGGTGGGGCGGAGGAGGATGGCTGGCTCCGCGCAGTTCCTACCCGGCTCTCTGGGAAGAATCACGCTGGAGGATGTGCCGTGTTATCATGGGCAGCAGCGGGCCTGGCTGCTTCTCCAGAGAGACCCGGGCCCCCATGTCTGCTCAGCCGCCAGACTCCTTGGATTTCTTGGGGGCTAGGCATGTCACTGGTCCGCCCATCTGGATCAGAGGGAAGGACCCTCTGGAGGGTCCTTGGAGGACCGAGGAACTGCATCCCTCCAGTCCTTTGCCCCCTTGGGATCATGGATACCCTTTATCCCCCAGGGCCGCAGGAGGTGGAGGTGGGGAGATGGGTGTACCCGGTGCCCCTCTGGGAGTGAGTGCCTCTCTTCAGGAGGAGGTCTGGCCTTGGGGAGGAGGTGGGGCGTGGAGGTCTTTGCTCCAGAACACAGGGCTGCCCCTGGAGCTCCCAGGGCAGGATCTCCTTGTCACCTTCCTTTCTGCATTTCAACTTTGCTGTCCCATCAGGTGCCCACGGCCTGCGAGAGGAGCCCGAGTTTGTGACCGCAAGGGCCGGCGAGAGTGTGGTCCTGCGATGCGATGTGATCCACCCAGTGACAGGACAGCCCCCGCCCTATGTTGTGGAGTGGTTCAAGTTTGGGGTGCCCATCCCTATCTTTATCAAGTTTGGCTACTATCCCCCTCACGTGGACCCTGAGTATGCAGGTAAGGCCTGGGCCAAGGGGGGCTGCCCGCCCTGGTTTCCTCTGTGGCTGTGGCATGGCTGCCTCTCCATCCCCAGCCTTCCAGCTCCAATGGCTGTCTGGTTGTGGCCAGGGTCACCCTTCTTGCTGCCTTTATCTCTATAGCCTCTCAACTTTTTCTGACTGGTCTCTTATCTGTTCTTCAACAGTCTCTGCCTCTTTCCTCCCATCCTTTGGACTCTGGTATGTTGTATAAGTGGAGGAAGTGAAGCCCCAGGCCATGCATGGCCAGATGCTGGGGTGAGGGTGGGAGCCAAGAGAGCCCCTCCCCGAGAGGGCTCCCGGGGGTCAAGGCTGGGAAGGTAGCTGTGTGTCAAGGAGCTGGTCAGAGCCATGCAGGCCTCTCCAGGCTGGCCAGAAGAGGTCAGGGGGTTTGCTCTGTCCACCCTTATCCACTCCCTCCCTTTGGCTCTGTGGTTGGGGCCTCATCCCATCCCTGAGTGTTAGGTAAGTGGCTTGACCCACCTGTGCATGGTGCGCCTGCTCTCTGCCCACCCTGCCACGCCAGCCTCCCTTCCACCCCATTGGTGTCTAGCCCTGCAGCCCTCCTGTCTGCAGTAGCCTGCTAGCCAGCCTGCAGGGGAGTGGGCACGGGGCATGTGAGATGTGCAAATGTGTGTGTGAGTGTACATATGCATGAGCACGTGTGAGGTGTGCAAATGGGCATGTGTGTGAGCGCAGGTGTGAGTGTACACAGGTGTAAGTGTGGGCGTGGGGCTGTGAGTGCACTTGTGTGAGTGTGCACCTGTGAGTGTAGGCTTGGGTGTGTGTGAGTGCAGGTGTGTGAGGTGTGTGACCGTGAGCATGGGTGTGTGGGGTTGGGGTGCGAGGGAGAGCGGAAGCTGTGGTAACTGCTTTTAACTACTTCTGGCCTCTGAGGTCTGAGCTTCATTTCTCTCAGAAAGCTTCCAGTTGTCTCTCCGGAGCCTGGTCTTTCTGGCTGTGGTTGATTTTGATAGTCGTGTTTTTAGGCAGATTGCCAGCATGGAGACAAAGAGGAAGGCAGAGGAGGTGGGGATGTGGGTATGAGGAGTGGGCTGAGGTGGTGCAGGGCCGCAGGGTGGGGCGTCCCTGAGGCTGCTGTGCATCCCCGTCCTGGGGGCAGGGGAGGCGGGTCCCATTCTGCCTGGCTCCTGCTGCGCGTCCTACCTTCTCATCACCCTGGGAGCCAAGGCTGGAGGAGGGTGGAGGCAGGTTGGCAGCCGGGGGTCTTTGCTTTGCTGCCAGCCCCTTCGTCATCTCAGGCCCACAGGCCCTGGGGTCTCAGCTGCTGGGGGCATGGGGCTCTGGCTGGATAAGTGGTCTCTTGGGTACTGACAGCAGGACCAAGAGGGGCGATATGGAGAGGTGCTAGTATGGGGACCCATCCGGGATGGGGTGTCCCGTCCTGAGTGGAGGTCCGGAGATGTGCCCTGGACTGCCCTGTGTCACCCCCCTTGCTGGATCCCCCCAACCCCCCCAGCCCCCTGTCTGTGTCCCTCACTCCTTCCCTTTATCCTTAGAGATGTCCAAGAGGATGGGTGCATCCTGGGGGCCTGAGGCTCTTGCAGTCACCCTGGGCCAGGGCCAGCTGAGGCAGGAGGGCTGGGGAGGGAGTGTGGCCCACTGGCAAGGTTTCATGCCTTTTCCTTTGCCGCCGGCTGTGGGGTTTGGTCCAGCTGTTGTTAGGGGCCCTGCCATGGGAAGTGGTCTGAAACCTACGATGGGTCCTCTGCTTCTGGCTGGGCTAGAGGCTGCTGAGCTGCTGATGGCCTCTGGGGCTTTCACCCACTTTGTCCCCACAGGCCGGGCGAGTCTTCACGACAAAGCATCCCTGCGGCTGGAGCAGGTTCGCTCCGAGGACCAGGGCTGGTATGAGTGCAAGGTGCTCATGCTGGACCAGCAGTATGACACCTTTCACAACGGCAGCTGGGTCCACCTCACCATCAACGGTGCGTACGGCCTCCTTCCGGGGATGGAGGGCCAACCTGGGAAGACCACTTCTCAGAGGACCCCCCTTAGGGGAAGCTTCTGTCCTCAACTGCACCCTGTCCCTGCTGCAAAGAGGAACCTCAGCCAGCTGGGCCCCACTAGATCTCAGTCCCCTGTCCCCTGCTTTTCCCTCTCTTGTTTCTGTAGAGCCTCTGGGGTTGGGGGAGGGGGCACATGAGGAGCAGCTCCCTGGGCACTAGGTGGGGCCTGCTGTGGGTGGTGGTGGCAGAGTTCCTCAGAGGGAGGTAGGAATCTGGGTGTTGGAACCGGAAGGGTTAAGGCTTTGTGGAGGGCACATCAGTAGTCTCTGGCACCGTTTCCCAGCTTCTGGAAGATGGATTGACTGGGGAAGTGCCTTCCCACTCCCTAGTGGGCTCCGGAAGTCCCTCCATTATAGTCTTCCTTTCTCGGTTAATGTTTTGGTTGCTTGTTAAGTATACTCATCTGATTAATTTGTATTGAGGGTCTACTGTGCTAAGCCCTGCTCTGACGATGGGAAAACTGGTGCAAACCAGGCGTGGTCCCCACTTGTGCTGGTTTACTGTCTGATAAAAAACATAAGAATCCTGGGAAGAATAACAGCACTAATGGGGGTCAGTTATTTATCACTCAGGTCAAGTGACCTGTGCTGTGCCTTGATGCTTTGGAAATAGCTAGGCAAAAGGGCAGTGAAGCTCTCTGCAGAGGCCCCAGGTAAGTTTGCCCACTTACGGGTGCTGGACTGGGCCAGAGGCCTAGATCCTTGGGGTGATGGGCACCAGGGGCTGGACCCTCTGGATCTCCCCAGATGGAGAGCCCCCCTTGTGGCCCTGGAAGTCCTTACTCGGAAGGAGATTCTCTGGAGGAGCCAGGAGAAGCTAGAATTGTCGAGAAAATTTGCAGGAGACATGCTGTGTATGCTTTGGAGTGCCACTCCCAGCTTTGATCCTAATGGTTTTGATGTCTGTGACTATCAGTGCTGAGTTTGGGAGACAGAAGTCTATGTTCGTGGTTTGGAAGCTTTGCACAATTTTGATCTGCTCTGAAGGATGGCTCTGCTTTCCCTCCTGTGGGGTTGGGTCATTCCTCCCAGGGCTTGGGTTAGGCCACGTTCCTGCTGGTGTGAGAACCTGTCAAGGGTCCTGGAAGCCTCCACTAGAGGCAGCCAACAGCTCCTGTCAGTTCCAAGAGACTGATTGAAGGCTTATTTTAAATCTTGAGTGGGCTGTCCCCACCACCCAGCAAGCTTTTGAGTCACCTTTTGATGCCAGCTGTTGTGTGTGCCAGGAATGAAAACTCATCTTAATATTAGCCCAAGCAAAACATAATTAGGAAGGTAAATCCGCTGCTCAAAGCTTCACTGACTGAACACCGAGCCAAGAGGCTCTGTGAGGTTTTCTTTCTCCCTCACGCCCTTTTTTAACCAGGGCCAACATCTCCTGCAGGCACACTCGCCTTTCACTTGTGAATCATCTCACTGGTGTTCACTCCGTGGTCTGAGATGTCAGGTGCTCAGTAGACACTCACATGGTGGCAGAGTAGGATTTCGTTAGGAAGTGTGTGTTGTATTACCTCTTTGTCTGAGTTTGCATGAGTGGGAGTTGATTCTTTATAATGCCTAATTGCTTGAAGTAGAATGAGCATGGAATAAGAAAGACCCTGAAAAGATGTGGTTTGTTTCATGAATCCATTGCATTTTAACTGTATGATCCTGGACATCTTAAGTCTCCTCTCTGAGCTTCTGTTTTCTCAGTTACCAAAAACAATGCCTACTTACAGAACTGTTGTGAGGATCGAATGAAATGGTGTGTGAGAATGTCTCTTACACAGTGTCTGGAACATTAATTACGTGTGGTAATTCTGTGTAAGATGCTGGCCATCCTCCTCAAGAGAAAAGAAGATGTAATCAGATGGGAGTGTATCAGCAGGGAGGTAGTAACCCAGGAAGAACTTCAGGCTGGAAGATACAGGGGGCTGTGGTGTTGGAAAGTACTTGTGAGTCCACCAGTGATTATCCATGCAAAACACATTCTTGAATGCCTACTCTGTGGCAGGCTCTGGGGATACAGCTGTGGGCATAAGCTAGACCCTGACGGAGACTTAAAGAGGCAGTGAAGTCCAGAGGCAATTGCAATATAGGCTTTGGGAGCACAAAGCACTTCCCTGAGGAAATGACCCCTGTGCAGAGACCTCGCAGAGGGGAGGAATTAGCTGTCTACGGAGGTACAGAGGTGGGAGGTGGGGAAGTATATTCTAGGCAGAGGGAACAGCATGCCTGGAAGCCCAGAGGAAGGAGGGCTGGGTCATTCAGGGAACATGGTGCATGGAGGGCATTTTGTTCATATGGAAGTGTTGGGCAGAAAAGCTAAGAATGTGCACCGTCTGTTCCAGGCTTTATAATCAGTGCTTCTTATAGAATACTGTGCCCTTACCAAGTCTGAAATGGGTAGGAAAGAACAGACACCTTTCCTGGTGAGATACCTCTCTCCTTTCTCTCCCCATCTCTCCTTCCCAAGTTCTGAGGTACCTTCCAGCATAAATATTTCCACTCTTGAAGGAAAGGGTCCAGAGTGCCACATTCCACTGCTTCCAAACCAGAGTGTTTAAGGTCAGGCATTTTCTCACAGGGTTCCCATTTGGAAAATGAAAGGCCAGTGGAAAATTAGAATTACAAATTGTCTCATTCTCCTTGAATGTTTTCTTGAAGACCAGTTGGGTGGAAACAAACCCAATTATTTCTTTATCACATATAAAATGCCCAAAAAGCCTGAGCCAAGGCTTGCTTTAGGTTGTGAATTAGTTGGAGGAGAGGCCAGCCTATTTCTAACCTGCACTATTAATTATAGGGCACTTGTAAAAAAGAATTAAGCCTGGAAATACAGCTGGCAAGCTAACACCTAATTCAGTAAATAACTGAGAGTCAAACCATTGTTTTCCTGAAACGCAAAATTGTTCAAAGTACTTTCCTGATTAGTGCCTAAATAATAAAGTAATTATGTAATTAGTAATTAATTTGTCACTTCAGGACATAATTTAATTTATTATCTCTTCTTTTAAGCTTGACACCAGAGGTAATAGAGGCTGTGGCTGTACTAACTATATTTCAAGAGGAGCTTTGTTGGATAAGCACATTGCAGGGCAGGAAGAGAGACCTGGATCTCAAGAGAAAAGAAGATGTAATCAGATGGGAGTGTATCAGCAGGGAGGTAGTAACCCAGGAAGAACTTCAGGCTGGAAGATACAGGGGGCTGTGGTGTTGGAAAGTACTTGTGAGTCCACCAGTGATTATCCATGCAAAACACATTCTTGAATGCCTACTCTGTGGCAGGCTCTGGGGATACAGCTGTGGGCATAAGCTAGACCCTGACGGAGACTTAAAGAGGCAGTGAAGTCCAGAGGCAATTGCAATATAGGCTTTGGGAGCACAAAGCACTTCCCTGAGGAAATGACCCCTGTGCAGAGACCTCGCAGAGGGGAGGAATTAGCTGTCTACGGAGGTACAGAGGTGGGAGGTGGGGAAGTATATTCTAGGCAGAGGGAACAGCATGCCTGGAAGCCCAGAGGAAGGAGGGCTGGGTCATTCAGGGAACATGGTGCATGGAGGGCATTTTGTTCATATGGAAGTGTTGGGCAGAAAAGCTAAGAATGTGCACCGTCTGTTCCAGGCTTTATAATCAGTGCTTCTTATAGAATACTGTGCCCTTACCAAGTCTGAAATGGGTAGGAAAGAACAGACATCTTTCCTGGTGAGATACCTCTCTCCTTTCTCTCCCCATCTCTCCTTCCCAAGTTCTGAGGTACCTTCCAGCATAAATATTTCCACTCTTGAAGGAAAGGGTCCAGAGTGCCACATTCCACTGCTTCCAAACCAGAGTGTTTAAGGTCAGGCATTTTCTCACAGGGTTCCCATTTGGAAAATGAAAGGCCAGTGGAAAATTAGAATTACAAATTGTCTCATTCTCCTTGAATGTTTTCTTGAAGACCAGTTGGGTGGAAACAAACCCAATTATTTCTTTATCACATATAAAATGCCCAAAAAGCCTGAGCCAAGGCTTGCTTTAGGTTGTGAATTAGTTGGAGGAGAGGCCAGCCTATTTCTAACCTGCACTATTAATTATAGGGCACTTGTAAAAAAGAATTAAGCCTGGAAATACAGCTGGCAAGCTAACACCTAATTCAGTAAATAACTGAGAGTCAAACCATTGTTTTCCTGAAACGCAAAATTGTTCAAAGTACTTTCCTGATTAGTGCCTAAATAATAAAGTAATTATGTAATTAGTAATTAATTTGTCACTTCAGGACATAATTTAATTTATTATCTCTTCTTTTAAGCTTGACACCAGAGGTAATAGAGGCTGTGGCTGTACTAACTATATTTCAAGAGGAGCTTTGTTGGATAAGCACATTGCAGGGCAGGAAGAGAGACCTGGATGTTAAGATTCCAGGATCCCTTTATCTGGATTCAGAATGGATTTTACAGTAGTTTTACATTATTTTTATTGTATTAAACATTGGATGAGAATTGCTAGCTTGAGGATGGCTATTGTGTGTGATGAAGTGTGGCTCTTCCATTTGTGGTCTCTCTCTAAGTGCCTCCAGTGTGCCCACTGAGCTAGGGGCTTCAGAGGTCGTCGAAGGAAGTGGGCTTGCCATGGTCTTGCTTGTAAGGAGTTTCACGTGTTCGACTTTGTGTTAGTCTGTGTGTGTGGGTGCCTTTGTTCATTTACTTCATTCGTCCACTCAACAGATGTTTGTGCAGAACTGTGTTACATGCCAGGACCTGTGCTGAAAGCTGGGCATACAGTGGGATTCACGGGAAAGATCTCTGTTCTCAAAGAGAGTTGTGATAAGTGCTTTAAAGAAGATAAAACAGTCTAAGAAGATAGAGAATGCAGAAAGTGCCATCTTAGATGGGCTGACAGGGGGAGGCAGAGATGGCCTTGTAGCAAAGGCTTGCAAAAGCCAAAGAAGTACCATCTGGTGTACAGTTCTAGCAAATGCAAAGGCCCTGAGGTTCCATGTACATGGCACATGGAGGACGACAACGACGGCCCTGTGGTTAGAGCCCAATGAAGGGGAAACACAGAGACAAAAAGACTACAGACAGACAAACATTAAGAGAGACATGTATACTCAAACACACAAGCCCACAGGGACCCCTCCACACGGAAAAGCAGCCAAAAGCCCTTTCCCTTGAACAAGGGAACAGAAGCCCATGTGTTCCCCCTACCCAACACACACACATGCACATGCACATACATGCATGTGCATGTGCATGCAGATGGACAGCACATTGGTGGAGGGGGGCAGGGCTTTCTGGAGAAGAGAGACTTTTTAGCTTTTTCCTGATGCCTCAGGCTTCTGGAGATATAGTGATGATAATAGTGATGGCAAAATAGCCAACATTTTACATGTGTTCCTATTTTTCAAGATCCTCTTCACACGCTTTATCTCATTCATTCCTCACATCAATTCTGGAGGGTGGGGGACTTAGTAGAGCCCAGAGAGGCTGAGTAACTTGCCCAGGGTTACACAGCAAGCAGCCAGTTAGCACTTGAACTTGGTCCTGAGCTTTGGATTTTCTTGAGATGGGCTCAAAATGACCTGCCCAGCCTGGCATTGTGATTCTTAAGCCTGGTGTTCAGAAGTGAGGCCCCTCCTTATTATCTCAGAAGACTGCAGAACTGATAGACCAAGGGGTGAAGATTGACCAGACTGCCTCTCCAAGCAGCTCAGAGATGCAAGATGGAAGCTCTTCAAAGCTGATTAACCAAACAGGATGGCATTTTAGCAAAAACTCCAGTGCAGGTGGGGTGGAGGGGTAACCTGGCATAATCAGGAGAATTAAGATCTGTGTTAGGCCTAGATGAAGCTCAGATGGCCACCGTCCCAGCAACGTGAGCACCTGGGTGGGCTGGGTTGAGGGAGTAGGGCTGTCATGAATGGTCCTGACGGAGCCATCCGTGGAGCTGGCAGATGCGCACGTCTGAGGACCCCAAGAGTGCTTGTTTATCACTTTGCCCGTGGTGCTGAACTCAGTAACTTCCCTACAGATGCTCAACAAACATTCATTTATTGGAATTAGCCAAGTACAATGAGAAAAATTTAGAATTTGGATGTGGCCAGATTGACTTTGAAGTACAGGTCTCTGTTCCCTCTATAAGATTTGTGGGCAGATATTTCACATGTCTCCCTAACATCTTTACACCTCAGAGGGGTACGCATGAACACAGGAGGCAGCCTGGTGTGGGTGGCATTGCATATGGGACAGTCCAACTAATCCACTGCATTCTCTTGTTGCAGCTCCCCCCACCTTTACAGAAACACCCCCCCAGTACATTGAGGCCAAGGAGGGTGGCAGTGTGACCATGACTTGCACAGCTTTTGGGAACCCCAAGCCCATTGTCACCTGGCTCAAGGAGGGGACACTCCTAGGTGCTAGCAGGAAATACCAGGTAAGTGTGGTTCTATAATGGGGCTACTGCTCTCGCTCCTCCTTGCCCACCCTTCCTTTGCCTGTCTCCCCTTCTCCAAAGTGGCCTCCTGTGCAGAGGCAGGCAGATTGGCTGTGTTTGAGTTATTGGAGGGAGATAGAACATGAGGCACCGTCTTTGCCTGAGGATGGCATTGGTGGGGGCTGAGGGTAGGCGCTGAGCTCCATCTCTCCTTGGCCCCAGGTGAGTGATGGCAGTCTCACAGTGACATCGGTCAGCCGGGAGGACAGAGGTGCCTACACCTGTCGCGCCTACAGCATCCAGGGGGAGGCTGTCCATACCACCCACCTGCTTGTCCAAGGTTAGAGCAATTTCTATGGCCCTTTTATACCCTGGGCTTTTGCCCGGACTTCCAGCCCAGCTGAGCTGCAGAGGGATTTTCCTAAGGTACCACTGACACAGCGGGGGGTGGGTGGAGAGAGGGCAGCCCGTGAGGAGCTGGGTGGGGGCTCCTCCTGAGCATTGTGCTCTCACAGCCAGAGCTCTCATGGTGGCATGCTGTGGCCATCATGGCGTGGTGGGAGGCTCCATGATGAGTAGGGTTCTGGGTCATCTATCTGCCCCCATAGTGTTCTGCCATGCCTCTACCTTCCCCAGGGGAGACCTCCCTCAAGTCTCCATCCATTAGTGATGGCATCAATAAATAAAGATAGGAATTCAATTCCAACCTCAGATATTTAAATAACACCGAGGTCATTTGGCAGAGCTGGGGTCTGCCTGGTCAGCACAGGGAGATGCCACTCTGGCCTGCTTGGGACCTCAGAGTGCCGTAGAGGGGTGGTGTCTCGGTGGCAGGGTCTCTTCTCTGAGCTGAGCCCATCCACCTGCTCTGCTTTCCATCTGCCGCCTGCTGGAGGGTCAGGTGAGGGCTGTTGGTGGCTGTCTGGGCTGCCAAGCCTGGGAGGCGCCTGCTCTGTCTGCCTCCTGACTTGGGGTGCTGAGTGGCAGCAGGGGCCAAAAGTCCCTTTGCAGCTCGGAGGAGAGCTGACCTCTCTCGTGAGAGAGCAGGTGGCAGCTGCAGCCTGTCTGGAAAGCCAGCACCAGGGACTGGTAGAATTTCACCCTCTGGTTATTCTGCTTTCCCCTGCCCCTCTCCCTAAAGCTGCCTTCTTACCCTCTGTCTGGGAAGCAGCACAAACCTCTTAATCCTCCAGTGGCAAGATTATTCCTACTCTGGATTGAAAATAGTGGCCTTTCTCCCATCTGCGTGTGTGTGTGTGTGTGTGTGTGTGTGTGTGTGTGTGTGTGTGTGTGCGCGCGCGCGCGCGCGCACAGCAGGGGTTACAGCCAAGATTTATAGAAGGCTTGTGCATGGGGGGGTGGGTATAGTGCACCAAGAAGGGTGTCTGCAGCTGGCTAAAGGGGGTGGGGCACATGTGGCCATGCCCCAGGGCCTTTGTATCTCTGGGGACCTGTAAGGAGAGTAAGACCCTGAGCAATGGCAGCTGCTAGAAGTGTTTCCATGACAACTGCCCAGGTTGTGCTCCTAGATCTTGGGCCTGTGCTGTCCCCTGCTCCCACAGGGTTCAGAGCACCTTCCTGAGGCATTAGAGCCGCCTGGAGGCCCGGGGGCTGCTCTCCCCTCCTCACCACACGAGGTCATGTTTGTGTCCTGTTTCCCCAGGGCCTCCCTTCATAGTTTCTCCTCCTGAGAACATCACTGTCAACATCTCCCAGGATGCTCTGCTCACCTGCCGGGCGGAGGCGTATCCTGGCAACCTCACCTACACCTGGTATTGGCAGGATGAGAACGTCTACTTCCAGAAGTGAGTACCCTGCCCTGACCCCTCAGGGGTTCCCAGCCAGGCCCTCCAGGGGTAAGGCCTCTGAGCAGGCTCTGCCACGGGCTGCCTCCAGGCTCTGGGAACTTGGAGGGTGGTCCGTGAGTCCTGCATGCCGAGGACTGTCTGTGCAGAGGGGCCTTGAGAAGCCCTGGGGATGCCAGGAAGTGCCTGTGTCCTGGCCTCTTCCGTGGGGTTGGGGGGCTTGTTGTTCCCTTGCTCTGGTGTGTCCTTGAGGACCCTCTTCTCCCACTTGCTAAGCCTGTCTGCTCCAGAGTGCTTTTGCCTTTGCAGTGACCTGAAGCTGAGGGTGCGGATCCTGATCGATGGGACCCTAATCATCTTCCGGGTGAAGCCTGAGGATGCGGGGAAGTACACCTGCGTCCCTAGCAACAGTCTGGGACGCTCCCCCTCGGCCTCGGCCTACCTGACTGTGCAGTGTGAGTCGGGGAGGGAGATCCCTGGGGGATGGTGCATCCAGAGGCTTCAGGCACTTGACCCAGACTGGAGACTGGAAGGCAGCAGAGACCGGGTGTGGGCACAGGGAGCGTGGGCGGAGTGGCTGGAAGGAAGGAGGAACATCCCCAGAGGAGGAGGCCTGAGCTGGCCCATCAGGTGAGAGGCACGCTTGCCCGGCACCTTCCGTGGGCCAGGTGCCACTCCCCATGTTGGCCAGTTCACCCCACCAGCCGAGCTTAGCTTGGCTTCAAGGATTGCAGGCCTTCTGAGCAGTGTCCTTGGGCTGAGTGCCACCCACACCTCTGTCGGGACCTTGAACCAGATACTCTCTGGTGTTTTTTCCTCAGGTATCTGAGGGCATGTAGCTGAAGGTGGGATAGGCTAGTTTCCTGCCCCTACTGTAGGTGGCTGTGTGGGTGAGCACAGAGGCTGCTTTTTGGGTGACTGGGTGGCTCTGCCAACACCTGGCTCCCTCTCGGCCTCCTCGCTGCTCTGCTCTAGGGCTGCCAGAGACCGAAATGAGTGAGCTGCTCCTCATGCCAGAGCAATCAAAGGCTTTTGTGCAGTACAATGATTCAGTTTGCTGATCTTGAATACTTTCCCCAACTGGCAAGCCGAGCACTGTAAGAGAGAGATGGATGGATGAGTAATGAGATTAATTTTTCCTTTTGATTTGCGGATGGCCCTGTCACTCAGGCAACACAGGCCCAGCTTTGTTGCTGTAAGTGACAGGCTCTCCATCATTGGAGGGCTGGTGTGGAAAAACCGCTCTCCCCCAGGGGTGTGGAGTGGCAGTGTGAGAAGCAACACAATCTGTAGACACGGCCCAGAGTCAGCATTTATGCTGAAGACCAGTAGACCCCTCAGTGCTCCCGCCAGGTGGGGCGTGGCTCCATCCACCGTGCAGAGCTGGGTGCTTGCCCTGGTCTGCTGTTGAGTGGGCAAGGCAGTGGAGCCAGCTGGACCCGCAACCTCATCGGCATCCTAACCGCACATTCTCATCATGTCCTTCTTTATGCAATGATTTTGCTGGCGGGGGCAGAGGCACCATTTCTCCGCTGATGCTGTCAGCAGCTTAAGAGGACTTGCAGCATGCTGTCTTAATGGATCCCAAGTTTTTTGAGCTGTGAGGCACAGGGAAAGCTGTGTGACCCCAGTTGTCGGGTCTCCCCCACCCAGACCTGTAGTAGGAAAGAGCAAGAAGGTATTTGTACATGACTTGTGTCTGTGCAGAGGGACCTTGAGAGGCTTGGAGAATGCCAGGAAGTGCCTTGCCTTATCCATGGGGAGGGGGGACTCACTGTGTCCCAAGCTGTGTGAAAGAGCAAGCAGGGGGGACTCCACTAGGAGCATCATCTGTCCTGTGTGACATGTGTCACCTGGGCAAGAAGGTGTGCTGGTGGACGGAGAAAGGCAGCAGGGAATGGTGTTCAGTAGGTGTGCTCTGACCAGCGGTAAGGCACTACGGCCATTTCTCTGCTGAAGGGAGGTGCTCTCCCTAGCACCATCCCCAGGGCCATCAGCCACTCCACTTGTCCTTTTTTCCCTCCTTCCTGCCTTGAAAGAAGCTGGAGGGTGAGGTTTCCAGGTGGGTGAGACAAGGATCTTTATTTCTGCTAAAAAGCAGTGTTTGGAGTATTTCCCATTCATAAACCCTTTGAAAACCTTGGAGGGGGAAAAAAACTCTACCATACAAAAGTAGGAAGCTATGTCTAAATATATAACTGGGCTTGGTATTTATGTAATGCTGTTCTCCGAAGAACTCCAGATGCTTGAAAGATACCAGCTCATTCATCCTCACTGCCTCCCTGGAAGTTCTGGATCTTTCTTCATAGTCTCAGGGAAAACTGGGGAGAGGGGAGAGGTGGGTGATTCACCCATGTCACAGGGTGAGCTTTTGGTTTGGGATGTGGAGAGAAGAGGACCTGCCTGGTGTCCAAGAGAGACTTGGAATAAGGAGCCTTGGGTGGGCGTGTGTGGCCAAATGTTGGCTTTGCTGTTTGGAATCTAGGGACTGGGAAATTGATGTCGAGAGTCCTCACCTGGCAGTGAGGTCCATGAGCAGAAGCATTCGAAGAGTTCTACAGATGGGAGTGGGCAGACACATGCCTTTGGTGCTGCCAAGCATTTGGGACAAGTTCTTGAGAATATAGTAGGCTGGATGGACTGGAAGTCAGCTGCCTGCACTGGGGTGGCTTATGTGACCTCGGGGGTTTGTCCATCTGGTTAGCCATGGTGGACCTAGTATCTGTCACTACTGGGAGCACCGAGGACACACACAGTTTTTACTGGGTGGTGGGTGGATGGGTGGGAAAGGCTGTGCTTTGGAGTCAGCCTATCTGGGTGAGACACGGGGGTTTGCATAGTGAGTCAGCCCCCTGTCCAATTTCTCACTTTCTGGATGACCTCCCTTGTGCCTTCCTTCTTTCCCATGCCACACTACTCCTCTGCAGACCCAGCCCGTGTCCTCAACATGCCCCCTGTCATCTATGTGCCCGTGGGAATTCACGGCTATATCCGCTGCCCTGTGGACGCAGAGCCACCAGCCACCATGGTCAAGTGGAACAAGGATGGCCGCCCCCTGCAGGTCGAGAAGGTGCTAGAGGGATGCATGCGGAGTCTGTGCGACACCCTCCTGACACTGAGATGCTGCCTATGGGGGCCTGGTTCCCTGCCAGGACTTCTTACTCCCCCACCAAAGTTCTGGAGAGCAAAGAGATGCTTCCCACGGGGGTCTGCAGTCTGGCATGGCCTTTGCTCTTCTCCTGGGGGACTTAGAAAACCCCACCCCTAAGCTCTGCCTCGGCCTGCTGCCAGGTTGGCTAGGCGAGCTGGCCCCCCTCAGGCCCTAGCTGGCCTACTAGCCTGGGTGGGCTGGGGCTGAGCGCCTGCTCCCTGAGCGTCACTCCCGCTCTGCTGTCTGCTCCGGCAGAATCTGGGTTGGACCTTGATGGAAGATGGCTCCATTCGCATTGAAGAGGCCACAGAGGAGGCTCTTGGCACTTACACCTGTGTGCCTTACAACACCCTGGGGACCATGGGCCAGTCTGCTCCTGCGCGGCTTGTCCTGAAGGTGAGGCCCAGGGCTGGGAGCAGTCTCCGTGTGGGTGGGCTCCCGAAACGCCACCTTCATGGCTTTGCTGTGCTCGCCCTAGGACCCCCCGTATTTTACGGTGCTACCAGGCTGGGAGTACAGGCAGGAGGCTGGCCGGGAGCTGCTCATCCCCTGCGCTGCTGCAGGGGACCCCTTCCCTGTCATCACGTGGAGAAAGGTACCTCTTGGCTCTGGAGCTCCCGGGAGATGTGGAGGGCCGTGGACCCAGCAGCAGCTGCTCTGATGGGGGGTGGGGCCAGGGAGCGAGCGAGGGTGATGCGCGGAGTGCTGTGCCCTGCACGCCATGGAGATGCAAGGGGTGCTGAGGGCGTGGTACAGCCCTCTCTGTCCTCCTGTCAGACCTCTGAGGTGTTGGTGGCTTCTCTTTCCCTTACCTGACCTGGTTCGTCCCCTGCCACCTGCTCCCGCCCTCCTCCCCGCCTCCTTGTTTGGCCAAGGTAGGGAAGCCCAGCAGAAGCAAGCACAACGCCCTGCCCAGCGGGAGCCTCCAGTTTCGAGCCCTGAGTAAGGAGGACCACGGGGAGTGGGAGTGCATTGCCACCAACGTGGTCACCAGCATCACTGCCAGTACCCACCTGACCGTCATCGGTATGGGCTGTGGGCCGGTGGGCTGGGGGCTGGATGCTGGGGACTGTCCGCTCTGCAGGCATCTTTCCCCAGTCAGCCCACCCTGAGCTGAGCTGCCACATGGGCCCTTCCCCTCCGTGGACTCTGCATAAGGGATGGGGGGCCTGTCCTGAGGAGATCTTTTTTTGGAACACATGCCCTCAGCGAGCCCCCAACACAGAAAAGAGGCACCTGTGTGGCTATTAGGAGCTGCTCTGAGGTCTGAGTGTAGGGCCTTGTCAGGGAGCGGGAGGACCGGATGAGGGCATCTGGGAGGGCCCAGCACTGAGGTTCCCATTTCCTGGGCTCTGGGCTCCCACTTCCTCTTCCTGGGGGGCCGTTCCCGTCCCTTGGCGTATACCATTGTAGCCTGTTCTCGGGACTGGCAGCGTATCAGCCAGTACTTTGGGAGCATTTACCACCAGGTATCGGCTCTGTGCCACGTGGTGCCCTGTCATTTATACCTGGGAGGTGTGTACCTTCATTGAGGCTGAGGCACGTGTGGGTGGAGCACCTTGCCCAGCCTCACATCACCATTCACGGTGGACCCGGGCTGAAGCTTTTAGTTGCTGTGCAGCTTCTACACTGGTGTGGGGTGGGATGTGGCTGTCTCATGAGGCTAGGGGAGTCCACAGGAGAGGGGCGTTTTGGCTTGCTTGGGACCTTAAGGGAGAGTGTTTCTGGGCTTGCCAGATGAGCACAGGACCTTGACCTGGGATGAGGCGGGTTCTGGCTCCCCTGGTCCTTGTTCTTAACGGTCATGTCATCTGCTGGAGGAGGCAGGCTGTAGGGGGTGGGTGCTGGCTGGCTTCCTTCTCCAGCACTACCACCAGAAGGGCCAGGGTGCCAGCTCCTCTGATCATCCCTCCTCCCCAGCTACTCCACGTCAGGGCTGCCCTTGCTACTGCGCAGTGAGGCTGTGGGTGCCTGGCTCAGTGGACTCAGTTCTTTTCAGTCTCAGAGATGTCCGCTTGGTCTTCAGGCACCAGCCCCCATGCCCCGGGCAGCGTCCGGGTCCAGGTCTCCATGACCACTGCCAACGTGTCCTGGGAGCCAGGCTATGATGGAGGATTTGAGCAGACATTCTCAGTTTGGTACGGACCTCTGTGAGTCACCCCCGCATGCTTTGCTCTCTGCTTCTCCCCGCCCCACTCCCACTTCAGGCAGTCCCTGGCGGGGTGGGAGAGTTGTGAGGAGGATGTGGTTGTCTGTCTGCCAGGTCTCCACATGGTGCGGTGTGTTGACACAGTGATTAGGTTCTTGCAGGGCATGAGGGTCTCTGGGCATTCCTGTGTCCCAGCCTGGGGGGTTAGAATGCTGATCTGGGCCGTTGCCTGAACTGCCCCCCTGGCCCCCGCAGCCCTGCTCTTCTTGCCCAGCTTGAATCTCACTGTCCCCTTCATGTGTCCTTGGCTCATTCTTCTTTGAGATTCCTCCAGAGTCTGGAAGAGACTCATGCTTGTGAGTGGCCCAGCTGGAAGCGTAGAGTCTGATTTTCATTCTGTCCCTTCCCCAGTGCTTCCAGAAACCGGTGTGAAGTGGTGCTCACCTTGTGTTCAGCATCTGCATTTTCTCTCTAGGACCATGCATCTCTATTGCAATTATATCTCTGTTCTTAATTTAGCCTGATGCTGTGATTTGAGATCTTTGTCCAAACCTGGGGTAGGGAGAGATCTCAAAATGCAGAAATCAGGCTGAGGACAGGGAGTGCAGAAAAGGTGGAAAGCCCCAGCTGACCTCCCCTTCACCCAAGGATTTCTCTGTTCCCACATTCCTATGCTGAGCCCAGAACTGGCCACCTGCCTCATGGGCAGCATCCTTGAGTGGGAGGTCTGGGCGTTGGATGGGTTTTCCTCACTGCCTGTGGCTCTGCTCCATGCTGCCATTCATCTGCATTGCTTTATCCCACTTTGCTCACTTGCTTTGGTGCGGGGGAGAAGGGTGGTTGTCCAAGTTTGGGGAGGTCTCCTTCCTGTCTTTCTGACTGCCTCTAACTCTCCATGTGCTGACTCAGACATTTGGTGCTAGCTTCTTTTTTTTGCTGTGCTTTCTGCTGCCTCAGCTCAGAGTCCTGGGCATACACCGTGGTGAGACTTTAAACCTAGAGGGGGAGCCTGGTGGGTTGCAGTAAGTGTAGCGGAGGGCTGCCTGTGCGTCAGTCCCATGGGATGATATCGCCTCCCTGTGGTGACACTGGGCACTGCACCTATAGGCACCCATTTTATTGCCCATGGAGAGTTAGGTGGGCCTTGGCACAAGGGATAATCCTCACCCCAGTTCCAGGAGTCTCCATGCACCGTGGCACCATCCTCTTGATTGTGATTTCCAACCCTTCAGGCCTTATGGGCCCTGGTCCCCACTGTGGTCATTGGTGTCACATACCCTGGTCCTCCTCCGGCGACTTCAGCCTTGTTGGACTGAGTGAGCCCTCTGGGTTACTCTAGGTCCCACTCCCAGCCATCCCTGGGAGGGGAGTGACCAAGGTCGCCTGGGTCCCTCTCCTTGTCTGGCCACTGCGAGTTGCTTGTCCTCACTTTTCCTTGTGGTACCTGCCTTGTTCCCAGGATCTTCACTCTCCCAAGGCAGAGCTCTTGAGGTTGTGACCAGGCTGATTCTCCCAAAATGCAATTGGTAATTTAACCAGAGCCTTGAGCATCACTTATACTAAGGGTCCCTGTTAGTGAGGAGGCACCAGTGGCTGGTGGCCTGGTGTCCTGAGGGCTGGTGCGGCCGACCTGGGGGTGGGGCCTCCCTCCTTGGTCTTTACCTCTTTCTCCTGGAACCCGGGAAGGCCAGGTCCGCCCACCGCCACCTCCTGGAGGACCTTGTATGCCCTCTGTCTCCAGTGTAACCCACCTACCCCCTTGTCCCCGATCCCTTCTCTTTCTTTTGGCCAGGATGAAGCGGGCACAGTTTGGGCCCCACGACTGGCTGTCTTTGCCAGTACCGCCGGGACCCAGCTGGTTGCTAGTGGACGCCCTGGAGCCTGAGACAGCATACCAGTTCAGTGTCCTGGCCCAGAACAAGCTGGGAACGAGCGCCTTCAGTGAGGTGGTCACTGTGAACACTTTAGGTGAGGGCCCCCAGCTGGGCATTCTTGAGGCTACTTCCCAGGGGAGCTGGGATAAAGATGGTGATGGTAGTGGTGGTCCTTGCAGCTGACATTCGCTGCTTCCTATGTGCCAGGCCCCTTGCGTGCTTTATAAAGCCATGTCACTTGTTCTCCAAATAAGGATCTGTCATACCATTCTGTGGGAGTTGTCTGGACCAAGCTGCCTCGTCCTACATGGGAGCACTTTTGGGCAGATTCCTGTTAAGGAAGAGGCTTGGAATGTCCTTCCATGATAGGCCAGATGTGCATCTTCCTAGGCTTCTTGGGAGACTGGGAATCTCCCTCTTTCCGTACACCTGCTGGTTCTTGCCTCTGGCCCCCTGGTGGTGAGCATGTGGCCGTTCTCCCTATTGGATCTTCTCCCTGTTGGATCGGCTGGGCTGGCTCTTTCTTCCTGGCCCAGCAGCATGTTCTGCCCCACCTGGCTGAGTGGGTTTGTCCCTGTCTGCTGCCAGAGAGACTGCTGTGAGCAGGTGGCCCCCCTCCAGCCTTGTGCCAGATCCTTTATTGCCTTGAGGGCTGGCAGTGACAGAATGCTGGCGCCTGCTCGGGGGGCCCCTTGATGTGCCTTGTTTTCCCATCTGGGCCAAGTAGGGGATTGCAAGTGTGCTAGATATCCCTACTTCCTTGGAAGAGAACAAAAGATGCATTTTGTAGTATCCTTTTAAAGATACTATCTAATTAAAAAGAAAATTACATTGAATTCTTCCTTTTTCCCTGTAGTTCTATTTTTTTTCCTTTTGAGGCACTCAATCCATTCATACATTTTTTTTGGAAGCTCTGTGAAGATAGGACTGTGAAGCTCTGGGCCCACTAGCCCTGCCTCCCTCCCTTGGGTCATGAGTACTCTTTTATGTGATGCTCTTGCCCCTGAAATGATGCATGCATGGGAGCATGGAAATGGGGCCATCCCCTTGGGGCTGTGGTGCCCCCAGGGACACCCGCTGAGCCAGATGGTAGCATGCAGGTGGCTGAGGGTGCAGGTCCCTCTGGGACACCTGTGCCACCACCCCCTTCCTCCTCTCCCCGCTGCAGCATTCCCTGTCACAACTCCAGAACCCCTGGTGCTGGTTACCCCACCGAGGTGCCTCACAGCCAATCGGACCCAGCAGGGTGTGCTCCTGTCGTGGCTCCCACCTGCCAACCACAGCTTTCCCATTGACCGCTACATCATGGAGTTTCGGGTCGGAGAACACTGGGAGATGCTAGATGATGCCATCCCAGGAACCGATGGAGAATTCTTTGCCAAGGATCTGTCACAGGTGAGGTACCTAGCTTTTCCGTGTCTATTCCTCTAAATTCTGGAAGTGACATGACCCTTTATAGAGTCACTGGAAGCTTGGAGTAGTGACCCAATCAGGTGTGTGAGGTCCGGCTGTGTGCTGTTGCACATTACCATTCCTGTTCCTTCCCAGATCTGTCACAAAGGCTCAGGATCCTCAGAGCATGGTGACTGAGGACCACAGATGAGCCTCTGTGGCAGTGGACACAAGCTGGTGCCTGGCAGGGAGGGGTAGGAGCCCAGTACGGGTAACCAGATTCTAACCTCAGCTTCTTGCTAGGAGTCTAAGTTGGGTTGGGCAAAGGATTTCCCACAAAGATCACCTTCCAGCCTGGCCTAGGGAAGGACCCCTCCTTTGACAATGAAGAGTCCTTGGAGGAGAATGCACAATATTTTCTTTTTTTTCCCCCAGTTGACCCTCTTTAAACTCTGATGTCTCCATCACTGGAGAGGGAAGTAGCTTATATCGTGGAAACAGACAGTCTCATCTCTCTTTCTGTCTCCCCTCCTTGACACTCACTTAGAGCTGGAACTGGCTGAGGAACAGCACCTCCTCAGAGCCCATGTGTGCAGCTCTTCCCAGCACTTCCAGTGACCTCATGTTTGTAGCTTGAAAACAGCCATGGTGGGAGTGTTTATGACATGGAAATTAGCAAATGCTATAAATCAGGACCTTTTTGTACCTGAGAGCCGGTTGTTAGACACTTTCAGGACACCACTGCTTTGGGGGCCCTCTTCCGTGAGATATCAGTGTGGGGTCCGTGGGGCACCAGTGGCTGTTTCAGGTCTCTTGGCTGACAGGGTGTAATCCCCGGGGTTGCAGGACACCTGGTATGAGTTCCGGGTTCTGGCCGTCATGCAGGATCTGATCAGCGAGCCCAGCAACATCGCCGGTGTCTCCAGCACAGGTACTTTGGAAGTGCGGGTCTCTTACGACTCTTGTAAGGATTGTACGCCAGAGCCATGTGGGAGTCCCTCTGTGAAATAACTAATAAGGGAAGGGGCTGAACTGGAGACAGAGGCGAGCTCTAGGTGGAAGAGCCCATACTGTGGCATCACCACATGGATGCTTCTGCTTCTGTGGTGGGCAGGATTTCTCCAGCTAAAGGGCAGTGTTCATTATAGGTTCTACGAGAGCTGCAGAAAGAGATTCAGTTAATATTCTGATTAGTCAAAAAGAACTTGGTTTAAGTTCTTCCACTACAAAATTTCTGTTGTTCTCTGGAATGAGGTGGGGCATTGAAATGGAGCAGAGACAACAGGTCAACAAGTAGTTATTGAATGCCTATTACAAGGCTGTTTTGTAATTATGGTGGTTTTATTTGGAAAATTGCTGTTTGGTGGTGTTTCCCTACGCTCATTCCTCTCCTAGATTCTTTCAAGCTAAATAAAGCCAACTCCCTAGCATTTTCTCCATTTATCTTTCTCTCTCTTGGCCCTGGTCCCATTTCTGCATGTTGTTATCCAGCTATAGTTCCTGAAACACAGCAGGTCCTTCCCTCCACAGTGAAGTGGCTCCCGTGGTATGGGGAGAGGCTCTTGCTTGGTGGTCAGGCAATGGCACCATTTCCCCAGGCACTGCTTGCACAGAGACCCCTGGGACCAGTCGGCAAGCGACTCAGCCAAGAAGCTCAGGCAGTAGGACTAGTAGAATTGCAAAAGGGTGGAGTAGGCAGACGGGGGTGGCAGGTGGCGGGGGTGCTGAGCTGGCACGAGACGGTTGGGGGAGTGGTGTGTGACTTATGTCTCTCATCTTAGGCACTGTGGGGCTTTTTAATGTTTTTTTGAAACACAGAGTCCTCTCCTATTGGCAGCAGACCCCAGCATACTTTTTTCTTGGCTTCCTCCAGGGAAGAGACTCAGATGAGCAACAGGGCCTAGAACTTGCAGCCAAGGCCAGAATGGAAGACTTGAGGGCTTTGTGGGCTCATCCCAGTGAACTGTTCTGTATTTAGTGGCTTTTATGTCTGGCTCCTGAAAGGAGGCATCGTAGGTGGACGGTTCCTGCTGGGTGAATGAGGACGCAGTGACCTCAGCATTCTGTCTTAAGCCCTCATTTCCAAAGGCTGTAGCATTCACTTTTCCACTCAGCCAGTCAGCATGATTTGGATTGTTTTTATCGATGGTCACTAATGACATAGCAGTGGGTTCTGGCCAAATGTGTCAGAATATATAGACTGACCTTTCAGTGAACCTGAAGAAGGGCACTTGTAACTGTCCTGGGAAGGAGAATTCAGTAAATTGTGGACTGGTCCTGGCTTGGTCTCTTATGAACTGTGTGACTTTGGGTACAAAGTGGGACTCACTTCCTTACTTGTAAAATGAGGAAACTAGAGCCCCAGCATTCTGTGCCTGTGATGACGAGCCTAGATTGTTCTTCCCCGGAGCAGATACTCACCTGTGCTGTGATGAGGTAGAAATGGATAGACCTGAATTTGGCAGCAATAGCCCATTTTCCCTGCCTATACAGCCCTGACCCTCAGGGCACCCTCACTTTGCAGAGAGGACGTGGTGGAAGGCAGAAAACAGCACCTGGAAGTAGGAATCACTGTGTTGTAACTTAGGCAACATAGGCGGTATCTATGCGAGCAAGTCACTCACACTCAGCCAATCACAGATTTTTCATTTAGAGAATGAGAACCTTAACATGCCTCATGAGGCTCATGCGAGAATATTTGACAATAGGCTTGAAAGAGCTTTGCAAAAATCATGAGACCAGGGCAGGTTATTATTGGAGTTATTATATATTAGGGGTAAGATATAGATGCTTCCTCTTGACAAGCTCTGTGCCGCTTACTTGACTTTTGTAAATAAACCTTTTCAGTGTGAGAGTTGAGTACTGATTCTGAGCCATTTACATTGTTCTACAGGGGTGGGGAAAGTCCCTGTGGGCTGCAGGTCAGAGGAGGTGAGGTCCCTGTGGGGGGTGGAGGGAGTCATGTGTGTTCCCCACTGCTCCCTGCAGACATCTTCCCGCAGCCGGACCTGACCGACGACGGGCTCGCCAGGCCTGTGTTGGCTGGAATTGTAGCTACCATCTGCTTCTTGGCAGCTGCCATCCTATTCAGCACCCTGGCTGCCTGCTTTGTCAACAAGCAGCGCAGGCGTAAGCTCAAGCGCAAGAAAGGTGGGTGTCTGCCCCCACCAGCCAGCTCTACCTGGCCCTGTTTCAAATGCTCCCCATCAGGAGAGACAGCCCATTTTTAGCATGGTCCCCTGAAAATAGGGAAACGGGGATCGTGTGGGTGGAACTGTTGGTGGGCCTGGATTTGAAAGAGGGAGTAAGGAAGCAGGAATGTGGGCAGAGTCTGATGGGGCCAGAAGGCAGGGCATGGTGGTGGGCACAAGGCTTGGGATGGGACCCTGAGATGCCAAGCACCTTTGCTTTGGACCCTCCTGGTGCCCGAGGTGCATTCTGTTGTCTCCAGCCTCAGCAGGCTTGCTCTCTCCTTCTTTTCCTTCCAGATCCTCCGCTCTCGATCACTCACTGCAGAAAGAGCCTAGAGTCTCCGTAAGTGAACCTGGCCCTGGGAGAACCTGACATGGCTGTTTGCGGTGTGTGGGTGGAAGGTGGAGGGTAGGCGGTTTGCCTTGCTCGGCCCTGTGACGTGTTTCTCAGCTGTATGCTGTTGATTGATCTGCATAATAATTTTAAGTTGTTCACATTAATAGAGGGAGCAGTAGTGTGGACTCCAAGTTAGGAGATAATCTGTTTCTCTGTAGCTTTGGAATGTGTTTCTGGGATTTTTTTTCATCCCAACAGATTTGCCTTCTTAACATGTTTTGCTTAAGTTAGTATCAAGATGGGCTTGCATTTCTTGAGCCAGGTGGGAATGAAGGTGGAGGTGTGACTAGACAGAGCATGGCAAATAAGAAGGCCAGGGCAGAGTAGAAGTAGCAGTGTGGGTGTTGATGCCAGAAGTGGACACACTCTTAGACAGTTGAGAGCTGGCCAAAGTATATCCCACCGAAACATGCAGCCCATCTACATCCTTTTCCTTAGTATTGTCTTCTTAGGTGTTTGTGGTGGCTGTTTACTAAGACAACAAAAGGAGATAAAGATGCAGGTATCTGTCACTTCATCCCTCCTGCCCTCTCCCTTGTCCTGCAGCCTGTCCTCTGGCAAGGGGAGCCCCGAGAGCATCCGGACGCTCCGGGCCCCATCCGAGTCCTCTGACGACCAAGGCCAGCCGGCCGCCAAAAGGATGTTGAGCCCCACCCGGGAGAAGGAGTTGTCCTTGTACAAGAAGACCAAGAGGGCCATCAGCAGCAAGAAGTACAGTGTGGCCAAGGCCGAGGCCGAGGCCGAGGCCACCACGCCCATCGAGCTTATCAGCAGAGGCCCTGACGGCCGCTTTGTGATGGATCCCGCTGAGATGGAGCCCTCGATGAAGAGCAGGCGCATTGAGGGCTTTCCCTTTGCCGAGGAGACGGACATGTACCCTGAGTTCCGCCAGTCAGACGAGGAGAACGAGGACCCACTGGTGCCCACGTCCGTGGCCGCCCTGAAGTCCCAGCTGACCCCACTGTCATCCAGCCAGGAGTCCTACCTGCCGCCACCAGCATACAGCCCTCGGTTCCCGCCCCGTGGGCTGGAGGGCCCAGGTGGCCTGGAAGGGCGTCTCCAGGCCACGGGCCAGGCCAGGCCCCCTGCCCCGCGGCCCTTCCACCACAGCCAGTATTATGGGTACCTGAGCAGCAGCAGCCCTGGGGAGGTGGAGCCACCACCCTTCTACATGCCGGAGGTGGGCAGCCCCCTGAGCTCTGTCATGTCCTCCCCGCCCCTGCACACTGAGGGGCCTTTTGGCCACCCCACCATTCCGGAGGAGAACGGAGAGAACGCTTCCAACAGCACGCTGCCCTTGACTCAGACACCCACAGGAGGGCGCTCCCCTGAGCCCTGGGGCCGGCCAGAATTCCCCTTTGGGGGACTGGAAACCCCAGCCATGATGTTTCCCCACCAGCTACACCCCTGTGATGTAGCCGAGAGTCTGCAGCCCAAGCCCTGCCTCCCCCGAGGACTGCCCCCCACCTCCCTGCAGGTGCCTGCAGCCTACCCGGGTATCCTGTCCCTGGAGGCGCCAAAGGGTTGGGCAGGCAAGTCACTGGGCAGAGGCCCTGTCCCAGTGCCCACCTCCGCTAAGTGGCAGGACAGACCTATGCAACCTCTGGTGAGCCAAGGGCAGCTAAGACATACCAGCCAAGGTATGGGCATACCCGTGTTGCCTTACCCCGAGCCGGCCGAGCCGGGGGGGCACAGCAGCCCCAGCACATTTGGCCTGGACACCCGGTGGTACGAGCCCCAGCCCCGGCCCCGGCCGAGCCCCCGGCAGGCCAGGCGCGCCGAGCCCAGTTTACATCAAGTGGTGCTACAGCCTTCCCGGCTCTCGCCTCTGACCCAAAGCCCCCTCAGCTCCCGCACCGGCTCCCCTGAGCTTGCCGCCCGGGCCCGGCCTCGCCCGGGCCTCCTGCAGCAGGCGGAGATGTCAGAGATCACCCTCCAGCCGCCGGCCGCTGTCAGCTTCTCGCGCAAGTCCACGCCCTCCACCGGCTCCCCTTCCCAGAGCAGCCGCAGCGGGAGCCCCAGCTACCGGCCCACCATGGGCTTCACTACGCTGGCGACGGGCTACCCCTCCCCGCCGCCAGGCCCCGTGGGGCCTGCGGAAAGCCTGGATGTGTTTGGACAGACGCCTTCCCCTCGGAGGATGGGGGAGGAGCTCCTCAGACCCGAGGCCCCCCCTCCACCAGTCCCTCCTTCAGGGTGAGTGTGAGCTGCTTCCTCCTGCCCGCCTCCGCCTGGCCATCTTCCTCCCCCTTGCCGTGCCCTCCACTCCTGCCATCAACCCGAACGAGAGGGCTTATCTGGGTTGTTGCAGCATCCTTCCTGGAGAGTTCTGGTCTTGGCATGAGCAGTGTGGTCATTGGGGTGAGGTGGGGCTTACCTGTCCAGGTGCCCAGCCTACAGCCCTTGGGAGGACCTCAGGGTGATGACGAGCAGACACACTTGGCGAGATGGGGTGACATGTCCGAGTGCGTGGTCCCCCAGTTCCCTATGGACTGGAGAGCTGTGTCCCTGATACTAGCTTTGAAGGTGGTTCCAAGGTTTGCCGAGGGATCTTGTATCCAGCGCCCTTTTCTTTCCCGTCCCCTCCTCCTCGCTGAGCAGGACCCTGAAGCTTGACTTCTTGGACCACCAGGCCAGGGGCTCCTGTTCCCAACCTCCTGCCCTTCGCAGCCTAGTAAGTGGGGGGCCCAGCTGCAGTCTCTCCCAGGGTGTGTCCTGAAGTCTGGGAGCAAAATCTGTCCTGTGAATCTTGTGCCCAGAGCCACATACCCAACCCCCACCTGTGTGCCTCGCAGGAAGCTGCAGACAGACAGACAGACAGACAGACAAGCCCCTGCGATCAGCCTGCCTGAGAGAGCACACTCTAAACTGTAGCAGCTGGTATTCAGGTACCAGCGTCGGCCTGGACGCCTGTCTGTGCCTCTTTTTCTCTTGTCTTTCTTCTCCCACCCTTCTCTGCCTTCTCCTCCTCCCCCTTCCTTCCTCAAGTCCGTCTTTCTGTCTGTCTTTCCTCCTTCTGGGTCTTCTTTGGGTTGCCCGACTTGCTCAGGAGAGCGTGCCCCGTCTCTGTAGGGCCCCCTGCCCGCCCACCCCCTTTCTCTCTGGTTCGAGCTTTGGTCTCTTCTTGATGTGGCTGCCTGTGCAGGGAGGGGGGAGAGAGTTCCAGGGGAGGCTGGCCTGGTGGAAGGCAGGATGGGAGGCAGTGCCCTGCTCCTGCCCCGTACATGCCCGCCCTCGCTCGTACCTGGAAGTGTAAGGCTCCCTCCCCCTGGACCCTGCTCCTGGTGGGGGAGAAGGGAGCGGGCCTTGGGAGGTGGAGGAGGGCTCTGCCAGCCACCAGGCACGGCCCGGGGCTCAGGTGCCCTGCCCTGTCTGTGCTGGAGACACTGCGGCCGCTGTCTGTGCTTTCGTGCAGCGCCCCATCTGCTTCGTCCCATCGTGCAGTCTGGCTCTCTGTCTCTCTCTGGCCCTCACCCATTCTCTGGCCTCTCCTGTCGGTTCTCTGGTCCCTGTGCTCCTCCCTCCTCCCCTCTGGGTGTGCGTGGGCGGTTCCCCCAGCCCCTGTTGATAACTGCTTTGTTTCTGATTGATCTCAGCTATCTGGGCAGTGTTGTCGAGACAAGCCTCTCCTCAGCTCAATAGGTAAGGGAGCTCCGCGCTGGGGCGGGCAGGGGGGTGGACAGGCGGACGGGGCTTTGGCAGGGCCATCGCTTCCTTTACAGGGGAATCCAAATCATATCCCCTCACCTCTGTGTGGGCGGCAGCCTCCGCTGCTCGGCTCCCCACGGCTTCTGGGTTCCCCACATCATGCTGCTCCAACAGACCCACCAGGCAATGCTCAGGCACCAGCTACCTGCAGCTTCTGGCCCCCCCACTCCACAGGTCAGGCCCTTGCTGAGAGCCTCCTGGCAGCTGTCTCTGCTCTGGCCCTTTGCCACCTTGCTGCAACATAGCCAGAGCTTCCCCCAGAGGCCCCGAGGGACCCTGCATGTACCCCGAGGGACCTAGGATGCCTAAGTCGTGCTTTGCATTTGGAAACCAGTCTGGGCCCCATGTATCCAGGAGCACCTGCCCTATGCCCTGTCTTCCCAGTAGCCGCAGGCACAGCACCCCCCTTCAAACCGAGGCCCGCTGAAGTCTCCTATCTTCTGGGTGGAGGGCCCCCACTGTTTCCTTGGGACCCACCTTCTGTTTAGTCCTCTCAGGGAGCATTGGGGTAGGGGGGTGGCCCAGCCCCTTCCCTTGGCAGCTGGGCCTTCCTGAGGGCCGGGTCACATAGACCTTGTGAGGGCAGGGGCACGTTCCTGGCCTTCTGCAGACCCTTCTTGGCTCTTACAGGGCTGGAAGGAGGACCTCGCCCTCAGGTTCAGATTGCTTTCAAGGTCCCTACAGTAGTCACTCCTGACCTCCCTGGGTCACAGTTCTAGGGAAAGGGCCTTGGGAGTTGCTCAGGGGGAGAGGACAGGTTCCTGGGGGTAGAGGACAGGCTCCCCAAGGCGGAAGGCAGTTACACTGTCCAGAGGCAGTTAAAAAGCCCTTGGTGATGAAGCGCTGCATGTCTTCCTTCCTCTGCCCTCTACTCATTCTTCCAGGTGGAGGTTTCAGGAACGTGGGCATTTTAGAGGGCTATCATGTCTGTTAAAGAGGTTTAGGGTCACCCAAGACTCACTGTCTCTCATGGTGACTAAGAAGTGCTTCTGGGAACAAGCAAATGCAGGTGCCAGGTGCTCGGATGGGAGCAAGAGATCCTCCTCTGGGGTGCTTCTGGCTTCCCTAGGCGAAGCACCTCCCTCCGCCCCTGCCTGGAGATGTCAAGGGAGGCTGATAGTTCCAACACAGGACAACAGATATCCTCATAAGGGCATCCCATGAAGAGCACTGGGCTGCCTTGCCATTTCCTTATGGAATGAGGCTCTAAACTTCTTAGCAGCCATGAGGCCCTGGGCTTTTGTTTGAGGCTGCCTGGGTGCTGGTGTCCCTAGAGAGAGCATGGAGGGCATCAAGAGGCAGTTCTCAGCTCCCCCACACTGGGGCCGCCTGCTGGGAGGCTGCTGCAGCGTGACAGTGACCAGGTCGTCCTCCTCCTTCCCTGCTGTCCTGCCTTGTCCCCTAGTTGTGACCCCTCTGTCGCCCCTGGTGGTATGGTAGCTCCAGGACTAGCTCGTCCCACCTCTGGGCTCCCTCTCGCCGGGGACTGCCACCGCCCTTCCCCTGACTGTTGGCCCATCCCTGCAGAGTCCCCATGCGTAGGATCGGAGAGAGCTGAGCTGCCCTACCCACTGCTGGGGCAAATCCAGAAACCAGGGGCAGCCACGAGGGAGCCTCCTCTGTCTGGGCCTGGCTGGCATCCCCAGCCTCGCAGCCTTAGAGTTAAACAGGTGGTGCTGGGCAGCGGGAGCCACTGCTCGCCCTCCTGCTTGCTGAGCCTCCCCGGGCGCGGGAGCTGCTGGGGCCATTGAGGGGGCAGGCTCCTCTTTAGACGCTGCCTTCACGCTGCGCCTTGCATGTGTCTCCACTGGTCTTGCTTGGAGAAGGTGTGGCTGGTCTTGTCTATGTTCGTTCTCGCTCTGTTCCTGTTCCTTCAGTCTCTGTCCTGTTCCTTCTCCCTCTCCTACCCGCAGTTGTTTCCCCACCTCTCCTCCTTTCTCTCTCCCTGTTTTCTCCTCTTCCCAACTCCCGTATCAGCACTGGGAGTTGTACTGCATGGACCTGCCTCTGTGATGGGCGGCGGGGGGCCGAGCACTTTTCCGGGCTCCCTGATTCCATAGCAGCCCTATTCCCACATGTCCCTTGAATCCCCCTTCCCCTTCATTCCAACTTGGGCCTCCATGATGCAGGGGCTCTGGGGGTGGTGCTGATCCTAGCGAACATACGTAGGAAGGAGTTTCTGTTGTGGAACAAGCCTCTCCTGAGTTTGGAGGCCAAACCCTGGGCTTGTCCCCCACAACCCCACTAGAAAGGTGCCTCTGAGATCAGAGCTGCACAGGAGCTGACCCCCGGACTCCTGGCTTGCTATGTGTAAGGAGAGTGGCTTTAACTTCTGCCTGGCTGCTCCTTGAACACGAGTGTATTTCCTTGGCCTCCCGTCTGCAGTGTAGAGTTGGACAAGCAGAGGCTGCTCTCAGGCCGTGAAGGAGAGGAGGTCACTGCTCTGCTCCTGGGGAGAGCTGCACACTGGGTGTGAGGGGGTTCTTAGGGTGGCAGGCGCAGGAAATGTCCAGTGGATTCTCACTTTCCTGTCCTGAGGTTTGCCTGCGTTTTGGCCCTGGCTATGTCTTCCTCCACTGCTCTGGGTAAGCACAGAATTAAGCGGCTAAGGCCTCTTAGGTTACATGATTTGGGTTTTATGTGAATTTTACAGAAAGAGAGAAAAAGAGAGTGTTAAACAAGGCATTTTTGGTAGTTGTTAACGGCAGAGGAACACCAGTGGGAGAGAGCATGGTTTGTCTGTGGGTGGCAGGATGTGGGAGATGCAAGGGCACCCCTAGACCTCAGGCCCTGCTTTTCAATGATGCTCCTACTTCCTGGAAGAGCAAGCCCAGGGTGCGCGGCTTCCCGTGTGTCCCGGAAGAATTGAAGCTGACTGGGATGAAGACTGACTTCGAGGTCCTGGGGAACTGAGACTGGGTTCTGTTTTGTCAGGGTGACCTTCTGTCACCTCAGGTCACTTGCCAGCTTCACTCCAGGGTTAGAATGGAGTCATTTAACTCCAGCTTCCTACTGTCTGACAGACATCAGCACCATATTTTCATTATCTGAAAGTCCCTGGTAGGCTTGACAATGACAGGGGACATGGTGACTCTTCCAAGGAAAGATAGGCAATTGCTTCCAAAGGGTAAAGTCTGTGAAACCACATCTTGGGGGTCTTTTCTGTGTAATTTGCTTACAGTAAAGACCCATTTTGCAGTCCCCACCCATCCTTCCAGATACTTGCTTTATTTTTCCTCCTGCAGTGAGGGCATCTTGGTGCCTCCAGGAGCTTTCTTTTGTCACAGGTTTGCATTTGAGCACTGGGCCAGAAGCAAAGAGAGGTGGGCAGCAGCTGTCCTGAAAGGGATGGGCTGGGTGGTTTCACTAGAGAAGCTTGGTTTGTCTGCCTCAATGAACTGTCACTGGGAATTTTTGCCTGAAGACATCACTTCAGCTAGTGTTTCTCTGTCTCTGGCCTTTCCTAGCAGAGTGGCCCTGCCACACAAGCAGTGTCTGTGCCTCTAGCTGCTGGTGCCTTCCACCCAGGGCAGATGAGAGCACTGTTTTCTCCTGAGTAGCTTCTATACTTGTTTTCATTATGAAGAAGTTGGAACAGCAGTGTGGCCTAATGTTGAGAGTCCTGGCTCTGTCCCATAATACGCCACTTAACCTCTCTAAATTCAGTTTCTCTGAGCAGTGGAGTCAGTGTAGTATTTACCTCTTAGGACTGTTGTAAGGATAAAAAAAAAAACTATCGTAGAGGACATAGATCAGTGCCTGGCAAGGTAAGTGGTAGATAAATGCTCAGCGATTAAAATGACAGTAGTAATAACATGTTGACTGTAACAATATCATCCCTGGACACTCACCTGACTTGGAGCATCCCTGGGGATTGTACCGGCTTCTCTCCCTGGATTATGCTATTGAAGCTCTGTTCCTGGGTCCATTCCTTACCATGCGTCCTCAGCCCATACATCCCTCTCCTCGTACGGTCTTTCTGAAGAGGCTGGCCAGGGCCTGGAGACAGGTAAACTGCACAGTGGGTTCCTCTCTTTGGTCTCTGTTTAGGCTGCGTGAAGGAGCCTTAGTGCGGGATGAGGAGGGGATGAGGGGGGATGAGGAAGGGATGAGGACGTCCGCCGGCAGCAGAGAGCCACACTTCCTCACATCCCAGCCACCTCCACCCTTGGTCAGCCCTCCTAATCCCTTTCAGCTGCACTGCTGCCGCTGTGTAGAGCCTCTGCGTGTAACTCTGGAGTGTGTGAAAGAGGAAGGGATGGGAACTGGCAGATGGGGGCTTTTGGGGTGGAAGACCTGACTTCCAATGGTGAGTTGGACTCCTTCCCTCCCAGACTGTGGTCCGAGTGTGCATGCAGGTGGGCCTTCCGAGCTCCACGCTTCCAGGGGGCATTGGAAAATCAAGAAATTGTCTCTGACCTGAACTTTGGAGGAGCTTCCCGATACTCTGTTTACTGAAGGGTTACAGAATGATGACATGCATCAAAGGAGAGGGAGGGCACTTCACTGCAAGTTGATGTGGGCTACCCAGAGACCAGAGGCTTATCTACATTTGGTCTGGAAGGTTTTTCATCCCTCATCCCTGCAAAGATTTCAGATGCTGGGGAGACACAGCTGCAGCCTTCCCATCCCTCTGCCGTTTGTTTTTCTACCCCAGGCTGGGTGCTCACCCCTGAGGACCCCTTTCCTCCTCCCAGGGCTGGCTGTTCTATGTCTTGTGGTCTGGACTTACCACAGCCAACTGGGATGGACATGGAAGAGGGAGGTGTGGGAACTGAGGTAGAGTGTGATTTGCCTCCGGTCACTGTGGCCCCAGTGTCCCTACTTTCCTGATCATGTGGGGAAAAAAGTGACCTGTTTTTGTTTTTCTCCCTTTATTCCTCAGGCTCCAAGTTTGGCTTCCTTTGAGAAGAAATGGCATTGATAACATGTCTTCTAGATTTTCTTCTTTTATGTCATTTGAAGATCTTTTGTGATGTGCACAGATTGTCACAGACAGCCCATCCTCTCAGCTCTCTTTGATCCCTTTTGTCACCTGAGGTTGCACAGGTTCCAGATTGACTTTGTTCTAATCATGCAGTTGATCCACCAGGCAAATGGCAACATCCACTCCACAGCTGGGGGAGAAAGAGACTGATGTGGTCTCTCTCAGTAGCTTCAGTTTTATGGGCCCTCTCTCATTGGGTCCTGGTGTTCTCATGTGGCCCTGCCTGGCCTTTTTTTTTTCTGGAGGAGGACAGTTAATTGGAGCATGGGGTGCTCGCCTGCTTTAACCTGCCGTTTGACTTTTCACTTAAAGGTCTTGACTGTGATGACTTCTGAGAATTTCCGATGTTGGAGCTGCTCCCTTCCTTGACTTTAGTCCCCCCAGTTTGAGTCATATGCTGTGGGGCTCACTATGAAGGTCTCGCTGTCCCTCTCCTAGGTCTTGCGATTGCTCCTCAGATTGGCTTCCATCTGAGATAGGCCTCCCGATGCTGGAACTTTCTCCTGGGTTTTCTCCTTTCCAGGATAGTTGTTAGGTGTCAAGGAGCCATGGTGGACACCTGGGACTCTGTGGTGCTGTGTGCTGCCCTCCAGTGGTCAGCTTGTTGGCCTCCTTCCAGCCCCTTGTCCAGTGCTCCCTCTCCTGGGAGCTGACCTGTGCCTCTCCAATTTTCCCTTCCAGAACACATCCACCTGCACCCGGGAATGCTGCTGCTCCTGAGAGGCTGGAGGCTCTGAAATACCAACGGATAAAGAAGCCCAAAAAGTCATCCAAGGGCTCTTCGAAGTCAAAGAAGCGATCCGGTAAATGGTGGAGGCGCCCCGCCCTTTCCCTCCCTTCTTCTCCCTGTCATCTCTGTGTTATTATGGAATTGTTTGGCCCAGATCTCAACCTTATTTCCCCTGGGTGTCCTCTAGAATTGAATCCACCTGTGCATTTTGTTCTTAGTTTCTTGACATGAATATAATTTTCATGTAAAAAATGAGAAAGACAAGGTTAAAATCTCTGATTGTCCTTCCAGTTATTCCCTCCCTCCTGGGAACCATCCCTTTTGGTGGTATGTGTGTTTTTAGAACCTCTGTGTGCATACAGTTTTAGAAAATATATGATACTGTTTTAATGTGCTTTTTAACAACAGAAATAGCCTCTTGTTTTTTTTTCCATTGTTTCAGCCCTTCTGGCTGGACATGGGGATTATAGGGGTCTACTCAGTGCTTAGAGAACTTCGTGGCATGGACCCAGCCTTTGTGGGTTGACCAAAAACTTTTCTTAGTGAGATAGAGTGAAATCTCCTTATGCTGTGGAAAGGACACTTCTATTGAAATATGTCTGATATTTATCCAGCAGTGATAGGTAGTGCAGAAATAGTTCAGCCCTCTTTTAGACTTAGGAAACTCCTTAATATTTATCATGTACTCTCTTTTTACCAGTGGTTTTAGGAATGTTGCAACAGGATGTAAAAAGAAACTGCCGAGCAGTTTGCTTACGGGCCCACGGTGATGACCACAGTGACCTGCTGCACAGCCTGGATTATGCCAGAGTGTTGTGCAGAGCCCCCCAGACCTTGGGGAGACAGTGGGCACTTACTATTCACATAGCCTTTGCATGGTGCTGTATTTTTCTATTTATACAATTTCTCGCAGACATACAGCATATTGATTCAATGATCATATATGTTACAAAATGCTCGCCATGATCATTATAGTTACCATCTGTCATTATACAAAGTTATTACAAGATCATTGACTATATATTCTCTATGCTGCATTTTTTATCCCTGTGACTTATTTTATAATTAAAAGTTTATTTGTCTTTATCCCCTTCACCTCTTTTGCCCATCTGCAACCCCTACCTGGGTGGTGCTATTATCCTATTAGTTTATAGATGGGAATGCTGAGGCAGAAAAAAAGGAAATGAAGTTTTTAGCATGTGGATGAGAAATTGGAGCCTAAAGCTGAATTTTCAACCTATTTAAGTCCACTGTAGTTTTAAGACTCATCTATGTACCTCCCTACCTACTTACCTATCTAGCTTTTTTTTTTTGGAAAAAGAGTCACGTTTGATGCCTGCATTTGCTCGTGTTCTGTGAGGGTGCTCCTGTTCCTGTTATATGGTAACAACTCTCAAATGTCTGTCTCTAGCCCATGTCTCTAACCACGAGCTCAAGTCTCATAATTCCACTTGCCTGCTGAACATGCATTTGGATGTTTTATAAGCCTTTAAGATGTCCAGAATTGAGTTATTGATTATCCTCTCCAAATCTGCTTCCCCTTCACTCTTCCCCACATTCATAAATAGCACTACCGCTTCCCAGTTGTGCAGGCCGCCTCAGCCTTCATTCTTGCTCTCACATTCAGTCCATTTGGTAAGGTTTGTTGGCTTAACTTTTTAAAACATACCCTGATTCTGACCGCTTTTTTCCATCTCAGCCACTAAAACTAGACTGAGTCACTCTCATCTGCCTTGACTGTTGCAATAGACAATAGACTCCTAACTAGTCATCTTGCCTTCTCTGCTGTTGCTCCTTCTATAGTATGTTCTACACATAGCAACCAGAGTGATCTTTAGAAAATGTGATAACATCCTCTTCCAGTCATGGACATGCACGCATGCACACACACACACACACACGCATGCATGCACACATACTTCTGATTAAAACTTTCCAGAAGCTTCCCACTGCAACCAGAACAGATTTCAAACTCTTTGCCCTACCCTTATGTCTTCCTGCCTCACTGTCCTCTGCTTACTCTGCTTCAGCTGCAATAGCCTTTCCTCTTTCTCTGGAACATGTCAGGTTTGCTCTTAACTCAAGGCTTACACATTTGCCATTCCTTCTGTTGGGGACACATTTCCCCCAGCTATTTGGAAAGCTCAAAATTCAAGACTCAGCTCAAGTGTTTCTCTTTAGAGAGTAGAAGCAGTGCTTCAGTCATTGGCTCCCACATGACCCTGTAAATCTTTGTGCTAATTTCAGCAACTTTTCGGCAACTGTGTTTTTCTAAGTTTTTATAGTTTGTCTCTTCCTCTTTATCCCTGCACTGAAGTATAATCTTGTAGAAACCAGGCTTTACTGCGGTATCTCCGGAGGGCCATGAGGTGGAGGAGTGACCCAGGTGAGCCAGGAAGGGCCGTTGTGTATGATTAAAGTCACGTGTAGAATCCATCACTGCCTGGCGACTGGGGAGAGGGTGACAAAAAGAGTGTATTGAGTCCCAACCCATTCCTAGACACCCTGATCCCCAATACCTAGAATGGTGCCTGATACCCAGAACTAAAAAAGAAATAGCGATATTTCTTTAATAAGAAAAAAATAAAAAAACAGAAATATTAGTTAAGAGATATAAAGTAAATATATTATATATCAAATAAAAGATAAAAAATAAATCTTGATTGGCTAGATGCATCCCCCTCCCTTGACCCTCATTAGAACCAGGGGAGCAGACGTGGACTATTGGCTGCCTCTGTGGAGAGATGGTGGCTTTTCTGTGGCGGCATGCTCTCGTCCCCCATACACTGGGGGTGATTCCTTTGTTTTATTACCAGAAATGCAGAATATGTGCCCTGGCAGATGGAAAGGTGAGTGTGTGAGGTTGCTTTATTCCTTTTCAACCACTTTCTCTCTGTCTTGTGCACCTGTTCGCTTCTCTCTAGATGGTTCTGCCTCCCAGGCTCAGCAGCTTCCAAACTCTCAGGTTCTGTGGCCCGACGAAGCTGTCTGCCTCCGAAAGAAGAAGAGACATTCTCGGCCTGACCCCTTTGCCCGCCTCTCAGACTTGTGCCACCGCCAGCTTCCAGAAGACCAGACGGCAATTCTCAACAGCGTGGATCAGGATGACCCCGGCCACGCCACTCTGCTGTGACACCAGCACGACTCTAAGTGCTTGCAGAGCAAGAGTGCTGGGGTGAGGGGCAGGGAGGGGTGCATGTAAGGTGTGTGCAAGCCTCGGCCTCCCTGTCAGTGGAGGGTGGCCCTGGCTGCTAGATCGAGGGCTGCTCAGGCCTCTGTTCTGTCTGTCTCCGGCTAGAGTGGGGGTCTCCTTCACATCCTGGCCCTCTGGTCTCGGTTTGGGACAGATGGCTTGGGGCAGACCTTTCGGCTGTGGGTAGAGATAGGAAGTGAACTGGGGTCAGGGAGAGATCCCTGCCCTCTTCGCCAGGTGGTTCCTCATCTCAGATGCCTGTATAGTAAATAAGGGGAGCGCCGCTTTACTGCTTTATGCTCTTGTTTCAGTTTTTCAAGTCCTGGAAGAGGGTTGGACTTCCATTCTGCTTCCGAACGCTACATATATATAGATATAGATACAAATGCATATTATGTAGTTTGTGGGTTTCTCTATGTGTATATATATGTACATTGAAGCAAAGTGCTGTTTACTTCTGTAGTCGATCAGATGAGGAGGAAGAGGGCAGCAGACACCTGGGGTTTGTGAGTAGCACTGGCAGACAGCTGGCTGGCACCCCAGTGTCTGTCTCGGGGATTACTCCTCCTGAAACAGGATTCATGCCTTTTCAGCTTAATTCACTACTTCTCTCTCTATCTTCTCCCATCCATAGCAGAAATGGGGGCTTGCCATGCTTTCCAGCGCCCTGCTGTGGGTGTTCAACAATGAGTTATCATAGAACTAAACACAAGTCTTTCTTTCTTGGTTCCTGGGTGGAGAAAGGGTGGCCAGCAAAGGACCAGACTGGCATCCTTCTTCCTTCCACAGTTTGGCTCCCGGTACAGAATTAGAAGCTGCTTAGCAGTAGGTCCGAGAGACAGTCCCTGATGGACAAACTTGAGCATGAGCTCTCATCCCTTTTGGTCCAGCCAGGGCTGGAGCCCTGTGGCCAGAGGACTTCCCATTCTGGAGCCATCTGCACTGAGCGCCAAGCTGCGGTGGCTCTATTTATATCCCGCCTCTAGCTCAGCACCCTCTGGAGCACTGTTCCAAAGCTGCTGATTGGATTCCTCCTTTCCTTTTGTGGGAGCTAATTCCCCAGATTGATTAATTGCCACTTGTGGGGAGCCTGCCTGCTGCTCCTTCGCAGGCTCTCCACATGCTGCCTGCAGACTCTTCTAGGCCCCGGGGCCCTCCTCCTCCCGGTGGACCCAAGCTCCAAGAGGATGGCCTCGGATTTCTGGGGCCTAGGATGCTCTGGGTCCCCTCCTTTCCCTCAGTTCTATTGATGTGGAACTGGCTGGGGCACAGGGATGAAGGTTGAAAGGGAGGTGCGGAGAGGCCTGGGCTCTGATCCTTTCTCTGCCCAAGTCTAGGCCTAGTTCTGACTCTTAGCACCCAGAGGCCATTTTATCGTGACTAAAGAGGTACCCACCTCTTCCATAAGATAACAGTGCTGCCCAGGAGCAGGGCAGAGGCCCTGAGGGTGGCTGGGTGCATCTGGCTTCTCCCCTCTTTGTGTAGGAGGCCACCCTTCTAGCTGCCCAGGGATCAAGGTGGTGCCCAGCTTCCCTGAAGTATTTCCTCATGGTGCTGCCTTGGTGAGGTGGGGGCGGCATCCATCTCTCCTGGTCGCCTGCTCGGGTGTTGGCCAAGTCAAAGTGCTGGAGGCCTCTGAGGGCCTTGGGGCGGCTGCCAGTGGCTCGGCGCAGTGACCTAGGTGAGCTGGGGCCTCTGAGAGCAGGGAAGCTGCCCCTTTCTGGGAGCTTCCATCACAGGGATGTGTCCTTGTTTGCCAGGCAGGCCCTGGTGCTTCCTTCCTCTTGCCTAGTGAGTGGGGACCAACTCCACCCTTGGGGTTCTGCCACGAAAGGCACAAAACCACAGATTGTTCCAGGTGATGAGTCGTGGTGAAAGAGGTGGGGAGGGGCAGTGTCTGGCTCTCATCTTGTCCGCTGCTCAGTCGCTCTGGGGCTGGGCCTTGCACCCTTGGGGCGGAACCCTAACCTCCGGCTGCTGCCCGTTCTGGGCATCCAAACCCAGCCACTTACCCCTGGGCAGCAGCTCCAGCACCTGCAGGAGCAGAGGCTTGGTGACTCTGTCTGCTTGTCCGAGGTGGCACTACCTCTGCCCCTCTGCCTCCCAGGTGACTTGGAGTACCTCTCCTGGGGCATGGGGATGAATGTGGGGTCTCATGCGGGTCGGGGTAGCCCTGCCTGTACTTCCGTGGCATGCTGTTCCCTGATGGGCAATGCTGGCTGGAATGTGAGCATGGGACTTCAGCGTGGGTGAGGCCGGCCTTTCTGAGCCCCGTGCTGGGAGCCCTAAGGTTACAGTGAAGAACACGAGGAGAGGCTTTGCTTCTTGAGGATGGCAGTTGGGGCCAAGAGCTGAGCTCTGGGCTGAGGTCCCCAGGCTCTGCCTGTGCTTTCCAGGGACCCACAGCGAGCCATCTCCAGGCTCACAAAGGTGCTGACTCCGTCCTTCTTTTCTCCCCTGGCAGTGCTCCTTACCTCAGCACATCAGACCAAATGGCTGGAGCTGTGCTTTCCATTGGCCACTGGGTGGCAGCTGCACTGGGGTGGCCCCGAGGCCAGGGAAAGGACACAGGCCAGCCTATCTTTCAGTGGCCTCGGACTCATTTCTTCTTCCAAGAGGGGTTCCTTCTTGTGACAGTGTCCTTGAAGGCCAGCAGCCTTCCTGTACCCCTGGGAGTGATTTCAGTCCTTCCTTGAAGGGCTGCAGTGGAAACCAGCAGAGTACTGTCTCCTTTGTCCATGTGATAGAGGGGAAAGGTGTCCCAGGCACAGGCTTGGGTTCCAGGTGTGTGCATGCGAGGGTGTGGCTGTGAATGTGTGCATGATGCGGTGTGGGCATATCTAGGGGCCAGATGTCCTCTGTACTCTGCCTTTGACCAATTGCAGTGAGTACTTTCAAGCTGCCTAGGATTCCCACACTCTGCTCTGTGGGAGATCCGGTAGATGTCTTCCAAACTTCCCCTTGTAGCTTTGCAGTACAAGTAACTGAGATAAAACCTACTACTGTGTGGGCCCCTTCCTTCTGCATCTGGACTGGAGACCATGGGTGTTTCAGGGTTAGGCGACTCACAGACAAAGAAAAGGGTAAAGTGATTCTAGAAGGGGCCGGAAGCTGAAAGCACTTTGGGGGATCTGAAACTGAAGTTTGGCGGGGGAAAAGCAATAAGGAGAAGGCGGAGCCTGTTTCTTCCTTGCTGGCTGACCACATGGGAGGGGCTTTCATGGTCCTAGTGGGGCCAGGTCCGTGGACTGTCATTCGTGGCCCAGTGGCCCAGCTCAGCACATGGTGACTGGTGAGCTCTGCCACCATCTCTCCCAGCCTGTCTCTTTAGCTACTTTCCTTGAGAGACAGGGGTAGGAGACGACTTTGGAGATTCCATTTTCTCAACAGGAAGGATGCTTCATCCTACAGGGCTGGCAGGGTCTGTCGCCCTCTGAGGAGGGGCCTGTGTCCCATGGTCATCCTCTTGGGGGCGTCTCAAGCAGAAGTGGATTGCAGTGAGTAATTATTAATATTTTTCAGTGCTCCCCATATTTATGTTTGATTTGTGATCTAAACTCTTTGGGGTTGAACTGATTCCCATTGTTCTCCTCTGCCCTTTCCATGCAGGGGAAACTGGGTTGGGTTCAGATGTGGAGTTTCAAGACTTGTTTGTTTGTTTGCAAGATTGACAAAACAGTAGCTTCAAGGGAGAAACAGACTTTATGGAGCATTGGGGCAATTTCGCCACTCCCCAGGATTCAAATCCAGGGCTGAGGTGTGCGAGGCTGCAGCTGTTTCTTCCAATTTTGTTTAAAAAAAGCCTACTTGGGTGGGGGGTTGGGGTGGGCTGGGGGAGAATTGTACATAAAGTACATTTTATTACTATTTAGAGAAACTTAAGAAAAGCTAATGGTTAATCTTGGGCTTGCTTTGCTTGCATGTAAAGGAGCCTTGGGGGGCATGGCAGGGATTGCTGGGAAGCAGGAGGAGGGAGTCAGAGGGTAGGGATGGCAGGAGCATCGGGGGGCTGCCCTGAGCACATCCACACTGCTCCCCCGGGGAAAAATGCACATTTTCAGTGGGCCTTCGTGGCCCAACCCTTCCTTTCTGTGTTTTACAAAGTAAAGGGAGGCAGGCTCTGGCAGGCAGGAGGCTTGCAGCCCCGTGGGGCTGCCCTTTTGCTTTGGGGAGAGGATCGAAGAGGTGCGTTAATGTCCAGGTCTAGCCAGAAAAAGGTGGTTGCTGGGGTGGGGGTTTCAGGAAGGGGAGTCAGAGAGTTGGAGCGTGGAAAGATCTGCAAGGCCGGAAGGGGAATAAAGAGCTAAACCGGTCATGGAGTAGAAGGCAGGGATCCTGAGATATGACAGTAAGACCAAAGCCAGGGGCCATGAAGCCTTATTTTTCTCTTTGGGGTGCACAATAACTTAGTTACCCCTGAGGGTGCCATATACAGGTTGGGGGTCATATCAAGAAAAGAACAAGGAGTGATTGCCCTGGGGTGGTGGCTGGCTGCAGAGTGGCAGCAGTGAAGATTGTTGTGGGGGGCAGGTGTGGGAGGGGGATATTGTCATTGAGAAAAGACTGGGCTAGGGTCTTGGCACCTGGGCCCAGACTGGATCTTAGAAGAGATCTTGCCTCTTAGCTAGACTTCCTTGCTTCTTCTAGAATTAACTTATAACACTAAGTGCCCAAACCAAACATGGACATAGTCTTTTTGGTGTCTTTCGACTTCATCTGTTTGTTTCTGGGGGCTTCTAAGGCCCAAAGCTAGGAGACTTGTCTTGAGATCCCCATCCTGTCACTAGCTCTGTGTCAGTGGAGAAGAAAGAAACGTTCTCATGAGCTTTGTGTGTGTGTTCTCATTAGCAGAAGTGGCAGGTGACCTTCTCCTTCTCTCCCATGATCCAGAACTGTTCACAGGACATTGTTCCTGGTGATGGAGGGGAGACTGGGGCCTGGCCTTTGCATTTATCACCCTTTGTTCTTGAGGTATGGAGACTGCCTTCAGACCAGGAAGCTGCATAGTGGCTTTTGTCCTACTTTTTTGTCCTTTAATAGGTGAAGGACACCAGTCTGGTTGACAGTATAGAGGTGGGGGGCAGGCAGAGGGTGGTGAAAAACCTTTACCCTGAAATCAGACCAACCATTCTTCTGTCCTCTGACATCAAGTCTCCAACTCTGCCACCTTGTGGATCAAGAGGCAAAATTAAAAATCTCTTCTTTAGAAGTTAGTAAGCCAAGGATCAAAGCCCAGACTGGACTTAAGCATTTTCAGCAGCTTGATGTTCAGTGAGGGGTGTCCTTTGCCACCCCACTGTCTGGCTGAGTGTGAATCCACACTGGCCCAGTACTTCATTTCTGGGAGCTGATCTGTACTTTCAGATAAGTAAATACACACACACACACATACACACACCCTCGTCCCCCAACAAGATGGTCTGCGTGTTGGGTTGCGGAGAGGGTGGAAGTGTTTTCATGACCTTATTTCAAGCTGATAGAGTAATTCCTAATAGACTGAATCTGATCCAAGGACACCCCATGCCCTATGGGTTTCTCTGCAGGATAAGGAAAACTAAGCATTTGTGCAAATATCATCAACGGCTGCCCATACGTTATAGAAAGAAGAGTCAGAATATCTTGATTGCAAATGCTTTGGTAGGACAGCAACCAGCAACTGAAATCCCTTGGCTGTTCTCTTCTGTGCTGGGTCTGCAGTAGTAGTTGGGGTTTCTGAGGAGGGATGATGAAAGGGTTGTCAGAACTGGGCTGGGGTGTTGGAGTGACACAGATTCTTCTGTCCCTGCCCTTGGCCATCTGCCTTCCCATTCCTGTAGATGAAGGAATGCGTGTCTAGGCCTGTTGTTTTGGGTCTTGAAGAAATGTGCTTCACCAGTCCCACCTCTCCCTGGCACTGGGTTTGTTTTAGTAATAAAGGCAAGCTCTCTCCCTCCACTCTATATATACACCAGTTAGGTTCCCTTTCCTTCCTTAGCCCACTCCTTTATGGCTCCAGGGATTTTGAACTTGTGCATGGCATATGATGGGGAGTTGGTCAGGTAGAGAAGGGAATCCGGGAGGGGAGATGGGTTGGGCTGGGAGGGGGGATTTGTATTTTCAGCCCCAGAAATACTGTGAGCATGCTTTTGGGTGATGTGTGGGGTTTTCACCTAAGTAGGTGGAAGGGGCAAATTCTGACTCTGCTCATTAGTGATGAGAGCTTTGGGGATTTTTGCTTCCTTCTGGCTTAGGGAATCTATGAAACCTTATTTCTGGTGGAGGGGAATAAACCTCCTCATAGTCATCTTGCAATCCTTGGGAGGGAAATCAGTCTACCAGTGAATATTTATATTACCCATTGTGAACAGTGAGAGGTCTGTCGTGAGCAGACAGTGTCCTGGCTGGGTCTGAGGTATGGGACTCTCTCACCTGTCCCCCTGCAGGTACCAGGTCATCTCCCTGGTCTCCACCCCCCTAGCCAGCTGTCTAGTCCATGTTCCTTTCCTGGGCTCAGGAAGTAAGAGTGAGTGTGGTGTGTGTGTGGTGTATGTGTGTGTGTGTGAGATTTGTAGGGGCATACTAATTCGCTTGGGTAGCATCAGGCCTAAGAGATCCTCTTTATGGTTGACTCTTTGCTAGGCAACTTCTGTTTTGGTTGGAGGGTAAAATTATAATATACCATCGTTAGTGTATTTTTTATGGAGATTGTATAAAAAATTATATAAGTATATATAATTTGTTCTATTTTAAGGAGCGAGGGAAACTTACATAAGGTGGGGTGGGTGGGTACAAGGATCAGATGCAATAGTCCTGAGTGGGAGGCTTCAGGCAGGTGGGCCATCTGGGGACTGGGAACTGGGAGGGCAGGAGATTAAAGCCAGGCAGGGGGCTCATGCCCTTGGCACATATATAAATATACAGAAACCTATATAAAGTCTAGCTAGCTAGCTGATCTATATATCTATATATCTATTTGAAGTCATAGTTTGCTTTATTTTTGTACCTGTGCTTAGAGATGTTTTGAGCAGGACCACCTTCCCTGAGGTGGTCTGGGACATTAGCTCATACCTTGATGTCCCTTATTTCCCCATCCTCTTCAATGCCTCTTCCTTTGAGACACTCTCTGTTCAGAGTTGCTTGGGTCGTTCTGATGGAAATGTGTATATATGAAAATTTAAATAACAAAACAAATAATCCACCTGAAGAAAGGGCAAAGGGTTGTGGGGGAACTACTGGGTCTGATAGCCCCAAGCAACCAGCATCCACAGTGTCCCTTGTCGTTGGGAGGGGACACTGTGGCTTGAACGCTTTGGCATAGGGGCTTAATATAGTGAGGACTGAGTTGAAGATTCTGTGATGTATTTCCATCTTGATGTGGGTTGGTACCCAGTTCCTCTGAAGGAATCTGGATCAGCAGCATTGGAAAGAAGGGCAAGATTACCTAGGGGCTTACAGCCAATACCTGTCCTGGTTTGCAGCACCTTGACTCAAGCACTCCTGGAGGGTGTGGCAGAGAGAGGAGGCATCTCGAGAGCTTTGTGAGGCTCACAGCATGGATTCAGTCTTGGAGAAGAATGCCCTGGTCGTTCTTGATATAGATTCTTGGAACCAGTGTGAATGTGATAATCTAGTATCAATATATCATATATGTTTCTTTCAGTTATTATTTTAATTGGAAAAAATAAGGCACCATTGGAAATAGGATGGTCCAATCTTGGGATACCGAGTGGAGATTGAGGAGTAAGAGGACTTTGGATGTGATGGGGGTGGTGGTGGGGGAGCTGGTGGAACCTCCTTCTGGCACTGACCTAGGACTTACAGAACTGAACAGTACACTGGAAGAATCTGACCCAGAACTGGAGATTGGGGAGCAGGAACTCATTTGCGTTTGAGCAGGAAACTCTATACCCTGAAGAATACCTCTCAGAATTCAAGACCTCACATGCGCTGCAAAGGGCCACACACCCTGCAGCCTCCACAGTCATCTCCTGGGTGCTAACCTTTTCTTCTGACTTGCCAAGAGCTCAGAGTGATGTGTTTGAAGCTAGTGCTGGGCCAGGTGGTGCAGGCAGCCAGGGGAGACTCATGGCTGCAATCTCTCTGCTCTCATCCTGCTCATCAACTGAAAAAAGGCAATACTAACCCCTCCTCCCCAACTGAAGTATTATGCTATCCAAAAACTTTAGTCTTACAGAGTTTGGTCACTAGAGGGAACTCAGATGTGTCGGCCACAGAAGGGGCTTTTAAAATATTTTGGGGTATGATGGGAAGAGTAGGGGGGAATGGAGCTTGGGGCTGACTCCTGACCCTTCTGCTCCCATAATGTAGATGTCATGGGGCCCTGCCCTTCACTCGGGCTCTGTCTGTGACTACCTGCTCAGAGCACTTCTCATTGCTCAAGGACACTAGAGAAAATGGGCTTTGTCCATGCAATACAGGAAGGGCCCCAATACTGGGAACAACTGGCCGTGTGTCCATTCTTGGCAGGTGACTAATTGTTGCTGCAGCCTTTTCGGGAGGCCAAAGGAGGGATACAGCCAGATGTTTCTTGTAAGATTTTTTTCCGGGAGGTTGAGCAAGAGAAAAAGCAGCACATTCTGTGCCCCTTCCCAGCTTGCGATCCCTTCCAGCCTGCTAAAGTATCCACAAAAGGGGGCTTTCCATTACTGCTCTTTTGGCTCGTAGAGCAATCCCCTCTTTCTCCATAGACCCTGTCTCACTTCCACTAACGGGTGATCTGGAGAAGAAATTATTTCAGCATTACAGGCCCTCTTATACCTAAACCACTAGGTCTAGCGCCACTCTAGGACTCAACTTCTTTTGCCTTATACCCAAGGCTTTCTCCTTAGAAACCTCAGCAGCATCCAGGTATGTGAGATCAAAAGTTACTGACCTGTGCATTGCTATCCCACTCCTCAACCTCCAACTGGCCTCTTCATTTACGGGAAGAATAGTGAAGATGAAGGATGTAGTCCCTACCTGGACATTTTGGATCTTGGAGGGGATGTAATGCTACCTCTTCCCTTTCCATATTCTGGCCATGAGCCCTCAGGAATGTGTTGACAGGGTAGACAGAGGGGAAAGGATCTAGCCTAGCACAGATCTCCAATTTCTCTGAAGAGCTGACCTTTCACCACAGCACATAGGGTAGAATGGATTGTGATTGGTGTATACATGGACTAAGCAAAATTTCCTGTTTTTGAACGTCTTGGTTAATGTTACAGGTTGATGGGATTAGGCCTTTGAGGTCCACGGCCACTACTAGGAACATGAGCTATTCCATGTACTTGTGCCATACTCATTGGTCCTTAGGTAATGAAGGGGGTATTGAATTCTAGTGCTTTTCACTTTTTCGGCAGGTGGTGGAGGCATCTGCGGAGTTGTTCTGTTTTTGCTACCTCTGCTGTATGGAGCAAGAGTTTGGCGCAGACAGATTCACTGGGAATTGCTCAGCCCAGGGTCAGTGTGGGAGTATCCTTTTCCCCTTTATCACCAACCAGAAGCTTGGGGAGGAGGAGTTTGTCCATTGTTCCTTGGCTTTTTGCTCGGCTCATCTACTCCTCTTCCCTGTAGATGATCATGCCGAGCCACTTTGGGCAATAAAGTAGGAGATGGGGAAACAGGAGAACCTGCCCTGCACACTTCCTGCCCGTGTGTAAAGGGATTGGCCACAGTGTCAGAGTAAACAGGTGTCTCCTGTTGTTTAGTAAACCATGGTAAGTACCCGTGGACTGGAGGGGAAGCTTTATGTAATGATCTTGATCTCTGGAACTTTAGACTGAACTCAGAAGGGGGATGACTGGCTTAGGGAAGAATAGCAAGTTTAAAGCTGTATTTATCAAGTCAGATACACCAACCTCAACAGGTCTTAACTTCTCATTCAGATTTAGTTTCTGAACTACCATTTGCGGAGCCAGAGGCTGCGGGCATGGACGGGGTGTGCTCTCACAGGCTGCTCCTTTTCCGCAGCCCTTGATGTGCAGGGACCACATCCTGCCTCGTGTCAGTGACGCCTGAGTCCTTTCATCTTCCACTTGGCCTCTTCCACCAGGAGGGCTTTGACCATCCTGGAACGAATTCTCCCATCCCTCACCTGGAGGCAGTTGTGTGGGTGGAGAGGGGCTCCTGGTGCCAGGTCCCCAAGCGCTCCAGAACCCCATGCCTCCGGAAGCCTGGTAGTCCAGATGTTCGTTCTTTTCTAACGAGTCTGGATGTGACTACTAGTTTTATCGTGGGAGAGTTTGCTCTCATTTCAAACCCCTTTTTCCTTCTTCAGCTTTCTTTGGGGGTTACTTCCATCCATGCCAGGCCTTCTCGTGAAGACCATTCAAACCTCATTTCCATCTCTTGAATGTCAAATATTATAACATCACTGCGCTAGGGTGCTTTACGGTGCTGTTCCTGAAGAGGCCAGGGACCGAACTTCTTCGTCCCACTGGTTCCTTAAATCTTGCTGTATTTTGTCTTCTTTTCGATTTTTTTTCCCTAGGGGTTTGGGGTGGGAGATGTAGGGGTGGCTTCTGTGTTTCTTCTCTCTCTCTCTCTCTCTGTTTTCTGTATGTATGGACTGGTTAAAGTCAGTTGTCACGGGCAGCTGACTTCATGTTATCGCTTGGCTGGCTTTGGTTAACTATTAAAGATAAACCAACAATTTGTACAGCTGCACACAGAACATCTTGAAGTGTGAATTTGAATGGCAACTAGAGGCTTACTTTTTGAACTTCAGGTATGTAACTCAAAAGTAAATAAAAACACTATTTTTTCAGTAAGCTTTTTTTTTTTCTTCTAAGAGACAACTTAGAACTCAAGCTATAAGAACATTAACTCGGTGCTGTACCAAAGCCTTATATGAGCACGTCCCACACTCTGTATAGCCTGTCTCTGGTGAGTTCCCTGCTCTTTCACCTCTTCTCAAAAGCTTGGGAATGCCAGCGTGTGCCGAGCCTGGGGCTGGGTCTTGGGTACCTGTGGGTTGAGGGGACCCCTTGGAGCAGAGGGTGAGGGTGAAGGTAGGACATCATTCTGCTTCCTGAGTAGACTGAAACAAAACCAGGCTTTTGTGCATGTGTGTGTGCACGTGTGTGGGTGTGCATGTGTGTGTGTGGGTGTGCTTGCCGGTGCACAAGGCCCAAGTGAATGCTGACAGTGGGCCTGGACGGGAGCCTGGTTGGCTCTGGGAATGGGCCAGTTGTAATGAGAGGGGAGCATATACTCTCCCCATTTCCTGTCTCCTTCCCTCTCTTCCATGCTAGGGGACGGAGGTGTATGGAAACAGTGTCACTCTTAACTAGGTGCTTTTTCCCCAAGATCTCCAAAGTCTAACCATTTATAAAGGGCCCATCCCAGAGGCAGATGCCGCCAACCAAATTACAGACCGCCAAGATGGGAAGGGGCCGTCCTCCTCCCCAGCTCGTTTGCTTGCTTGAGGAGGGGGTTCCTCCTGCAGGCTCCCTGATGGTCCTGTTCCTGGGCCTGGGCCTGTTCTCACTGCCACCCCTCCAGATGGGCTTCAATTGGCTAACCTGCCCCTTCTCCCCATCCACAAAGAAGACTGGACTGCAGACGTCCTGAGCTGCGCTGGCTCTGCGGCCCTAAGCAATAACGCCTGCCCTGGCGCCAAGGACAGCGATTCCTTTGGCCTTAGACACTTGCCTGTTGAAAGACTGAGTGATACCCCAAAGTCAGTTAGGGAGAGAATCTGCTGCCTGCCTTGGCTCAGGCTGCTGCTGTGCCTGGCTCCACACGCTGGTACTTTCAGGCTTGCTGGATACTAACCCACTCATGCCAGTAACATTGCACGTCCATATAGTGAGGTAGAAATCAAAACAAGCAAACACATACATAAGCAACCAAGAAGAGAAGAAAGGGCACACTAAATGGCGAGATGGGTAGCCAGTGAAGGTATCCTGGGAGTGTTGCAAGTTAAATTGAGTAAAAGAAGTTTAGTATTTAATTGCTTCTCATGTAACATTACTCTGCTTCAGAAATGTTTTGTATTTTGATATAAATAAACATTTGCTAAAAAAGTTTACTTTCTTATTTTTATTTATACTTAGAAAGTATTACCTGATATTATCTAATCTCACCTCTGGCTTAGGTCTCCTTAACCCTAAAATTTTAAACTCATGCCTCAACATGATTTTGAAAGGATTTGAAGCATGGGAATTAAGAAACTAGTCTCCATTCATTGAGCTGAGGGGCTATATGTACTGAGGGATGTGTACTGAGGGGGTATATCATGCGTGAGTCTCGGTTCCATTCACTTGGGATCCATCAGAGAACAACGTAGATAAGGTTCCTACTCTTCTAGGGCTTATAGTCTAGTGGTAGGGAGACAGACTAGGCAATTACTGCAACAAAATTACATAGAACATAACCGGGTGATGAGTGCTTTGGGGAAAAGAAGAGCAAGACAAGGGGCACTGGAGTGCAAGAGTGTCGGTTGCAGTTTAAAAAGTGCTCAGAGCTGGCTTCCCTGAGTGGATAGCCCTTGAGCAAAAGCAGAAAGGTGGCTCATCTCAGTATCTAGTAATGCACGTAAAATTCTCTAACTTTGTTGCTGTTTGTCTTTTACAATATCTGGAAGCTTTAACTAGAAGATATGCTGACTCTTCAATTATGTGATGAAGACAATGTTTGGTTAGACCATCTTTGCCTGCATGAGTCCCCAGCTCTAACAGAGCCTGGCCTGGGGCCACATTTCACATACAAGAGTCCACGGTGCTGTGACTCTCCTCGGACTGAATTAAGCCTTTGCTTTCCCTGGGAGGGTTAGCAGGCTTCCACCTCTGGCTGTCATCTCCAGCGCTGACTTGGGTTTCCCTGCCCAAACTGGCACACTTCCCTTCCTTTCCCACAATGCCTTTCTCATTTATTGATAACCTTTCTTCCTGGTGTTCTCAGCAGTAATCTTCTGGTTAACCTGCTATGCTTATTTTCTATTTCATTTGGTCTTTAGATGGAGGGCAAATACCAAAATATGATATTCCAGTTTATGTGCATAGTTCCAAGAGAAGTAAATGACCAACCCACCAGCCAAACAGCACAAATAGGTCCATCCACAAATTTGAGAACACCTGTCATGGTGCAAAATGTCTCCATGTAAACGTCCCTAAAAGCCCAGGCACAGGGCTCTTGTGCCATGAGAGCCTTCCCATGTCCATCAGTTTTCAATTATTGGCCACAATTCTCATCCCTACTAGTTTCCATTTCCTGTTCCTCTGCACTCCCTTTTTCTTACCATAATGACAGGCTATAAGGCCATAAAGACAATTTCTTTGTTATTTCTTTATATGCTCTGGTCATAATTTTTATAAGCAGGTACCATGGAGTGTTCTGTAGTCTATTTACACATAAATGAGGGTGGACAGCATTGCCAACCCCCGCACCCCTTCAAATTCCTCCAGGTCAGGCTGGGAACCCACCGGAATATTCCCCTCCATGCTTGTGGCTGTGGGAATTTGACAGGATGGGCCTGTGGACTGAAACCTTTTTGTTAGATTTGTCAGCTCTGTGGCAAAGCTTAGTTAAAATTTTTTTTAAGTAGCGAGGAAAAAATAAATAGTTCGGGTCTTGAGGCCCTTTTCTGTGTTAAAACGGCTTTTTAAGGGACTTTGATCTATTTTTAAAATTGGCCCTAACTTCGTATGGACGCAGTTCTCCATACTTTCAGCAGTTCTTCATATTTATTTGGTGCGCACAGTAAGTATGGGTTAAATGAAATATGCGTTTCTCTTTTTTAGAGAGGAATGAGGGTGAGAACCAACCAGTGCGCCAGCCAACCAATGTCCCTTCTCTTCCCTCCCCTCCCTCCCTCCCCACTCCTCCCTGGTCCCTTCTTTCCTTCCTTCCATACTCTTCATTCCACAAAAGCTTTCAGGCAGCAAGAAGTTGCCGAGAAAAGATGAAGCCTCCTACTTTGGTCCTGGTCCAGCACTCTCCCTTAGGCTTCCTTTCAGACAGACACAACCCAGGCCCAGGACACCTGTGTCCCCAGTGAGGTCATATAGTCCCTGGAGTCTGGAAAATGGCACTTTGGAAGCCTGGTGAACAATGCTGGTTTGTATGTGTATTTGTGGATATTCAAGGATATTACAGTGACAAAAGTTGGGAGAGACTAGACGACAAGCAAACTTCATAGGCTTCATAAACCTCAATCCAGTATTGATTTTAGGAGTCAAGGCCCTTTGCCTTTAGGTTTTGGGGAGAAACTGCTCTTTCCCTGGAGCAGTGAGGGACCCTTTGTCCCATGTAGACAGTACGGCGCAGGGTGAGCCTGACTCAGATCCGTAAACTACCAGATTCCTTTGCATCCCAGGTTCCCTTTCCAGACCTTCCCCCATTTCCAATGACCCCTTTTCCTCTGTGGTCAAGGGCCCCATTCCTTTGTGTCTACAAACATGGTGTCAAAGACAGAGTTCAAGATGCTTTAGATTCTTCCTCAGTCAAAGGAGTGGGCAGGACCCTCCCCCAGGAGCCCGAAATCCCAGAGTGGGGACCCTCTGCTCTTGACAAGCCGCCTTCCTCCTTTTACATCGCAGCCCATGGACAAACCATCTGCATTTCTCATGCTTTGTTCCCTCGTCCCTCCCCGGGGAAGAAATCCTTGTCTTGGTTCTTCCATTCATAACTGATGACGTTGGGCAGATCCACAGCCTGTCTGAGGTTGCTGCTCTTGCCAGCTGCCCACTCCAGAAACTCGGTGGGGGCGTGCTCTCCATGTTGGCGCATGCTCACCAACGCTGGGGCCGGTGCTGGCCAGCCTCTCAGGAGCTCCTTAGCAGCACTGGGTGAGCCACAAGGCTCTGGAGCTCTGCGAGTGGCCTTTTCAAGGAGAGAGGTGATGTTCACTCCCTCTTGCTGGCAGCCCCAATCTCTATGACAGATTATTTTGGAGACCTTATTTTATTTGGCTTTGAGGGGCGAAGCACAATCTTTCTGCCCGCACAGGTAGGAGGAGGCCAGGCCTTTTCACATTTGCAGATACTCCTTATAAGGCGCACTCTGGGCTTGAGATTTCCCTTTTCTCTTCCCTCCCCAGGTCTCCGTCTGGCCAGCTGCAGAGGCGTGGTGGGGTGGTGCTGGGCCCAGCTATGCTGCCTCCTGGTAGTCTGTGCTGGAGGAACCGGCCCTTTGGAGAACTGCAGATATTTTGAGTATGAGAACTTAGCTCCCATTTGTCCTCAGTTTGGGGCCTTGGTTGCCAATCTGAAGGCAGCAGGGTGCTGCCTGGTGAGTGCCCTCTACTGATCTTCTCCTTGCTCATCATGTGTCAGCCCCTCGGGAGCTGGGCCCCATCTGTCCTGTTCACTGTGTGACCCAAGTGCCTATCACAGCAGAGATATTTATTAAATGCTTATTGGAAGAATGAATGATTGGTCAGAAAATGCTTACTCTACTTGGCATCATTTAATTGGCATCATTGGTAACTGGTAAGAGTAGCTTCAGTAGAATGATGGCAGCAGAAACAGAGTGGAGTTAAGCTGAGGTATGAGAAATGAGCAGTTAGGGACCATGTCTATAGATACCACTTTAGAGAAGCCTAGAGTTTTAAAATATAGAAAAGTTGAGGAATAGTAAGGCTAACAGGCCAGGAGAAAAGTATCATTGCAAAGGTAGGTTGTTACAGTTCCCAAGGGGAGGGACATACCATGCCTTAAGGGGCCACATGGAGAAGTACCAGGGTTGGTCAGGTGGCAGAAGGAGACGCGACACTGTGGGCATGAGCCTTTACTGTGGTTTCTACAGGAAGGAATGGGTGAGGCAGGTGAGCAGGCTTAGGATCGGCCAGGTTGAATAATTTCAGCAGACTCCAGGGCCCCTGTGCTGGAACTTGGCCCTGGGTGATAGGGCCAAGGAGCAATGGCCTGCGGTGGGAGAACCTGACAAGGAACACGCCAGAGGTGCAGACACTGGATTGGTTCTTTTGTATTTGAAAAATGTATTTGTAGGCAAGTTACCTCCTATCCCTAGGAATTGTCTAGCTCTGAGAGGGGCAGTCCCTCCAGAGTCAGCCAGACCCCTGATGTCAAAGCATCGGAGTACAGAAAATTAAAGACAGAGTTGATACACCTTGTAGCAAAGGGCAGGGGGCAGAGAAATGGGGCGCTGGCCAGTGAGGGCTTGCTGTCACAAAGGTGGGCTTTGTTTATTTCTAAGTCAGGAGATACTAAAGTATGTGTTTATGCTGCAGAATGAACCAACATGATACCACAGAAAATGGTGCTAAGAAAAGCAACAAGGTCCTTGATGAACTAACAGGAAAGGGGATCCCAACCACTCATGGATGGACTAGCCTGTGGGAAAAAGGGAGAGATGTTTTCATTTGGGATAGGAGGAAAAAGATACTAGGATGTCATGGGAATGGAAGGCAGTTCTCATTTGGTGACTTGGAAGAATTAGTATGTATTTATTACTTAACATTTTCTGTTCTCCATCATCCTCTAAAAGTTTTTGACTTGAAAGAGTTTTTGAAAGTAAAATCTTTCCTCAGTTCTTTTCTTAGATGAGTCCATAGGTGATACAGTCTCTGGACCATGCATATCTGCAAATATTTTTTAATGTCTTGTGATAACAACACAGCAGTGGGGAGTTTTCAGCCCTTATTCAAGCACCAAGATGAAACCTCTCAGGTCTCTGATCATCTATTACTCTTCTAGGCTGTGGCGAAAGAAGAGTCCGCTCAATGTTCAGCTATTCCTCTGCTCCCTGAAGGGCAGTGAGAACAAGCACAACCTCATAGGCTACGATTATTCTCCTCCTGAGGCTCAGGTGTCTCTGTGCACCAAGCTTTCTCCACAATCCATCAGCTTCCTCTCCTGACCCTGGAGTGTTTCCACCATGTACCCCTAAGTCAGTGTGCTGCAGAGAAGAACACGTGGAGCCTCATGCTAAACCATGCAAGTGGTTGAGATTGCTTGTGAGCATGTGGCAGGAGGGAGGAGTGGGGAGCCAAGAACCCAATCCTGGGAAACACCAATGTTTAAGGGGCCATCAGAGAAAAGTGGG